AATTCGTCAAGTACATCAGACTTCCTATTATCCGTGAATATTCCAACTGAGCCACTGGTTGACCTTTATTGGCTACCAGATTTATACTGAGATCAAGGGGTGTCTTACACCTAGACTGTGCACCGTCATAGGTATCAAATTTCTTGAGCACTTTCTCCACATAATGAGATTGTGACAAGACAATTCCATCTTGGGTTCTGATAATCCTTATTCCAAGAATAACATCAGCCAAACCCATATCTTTCATGTCGAAATTTCTTTTCAACATTCTTTTCGTATCCATGATCACTTCTTGGCTACTCCCCATGATCAACATATCGTCTACATATAGACATACAATCACAAATGCATTTGATGTACTCTTGACATAAACACATTTGTCACATTCGTTGATTTTGAAACCATTTGACAACATCACGTCATCAAATTTCAAATGCCATTGTTTCGGAGCTTGTTTCAGTCCGTACAAGGATTTGATCAATCTACACACCTTTCTCTCTTGTCCAGGTGCAACAAACCCTTCAGGTTGTTCCATGTATATTTTTTCTTCCAATTCACCATTTAAAAATGCCGTCTTGACATCCATTTGGTGAATCTCAAGATTGTGCAAAGCAGCAATCGAGAGAAGCACTCTTATCGACGCTAAACGCGTAACTGGTGAATAGGTATCAAAGAAATCATACCCTTCTTTTTGTTTAAAGCCTTTTACCACCAAACGTGCTTTAAACTTATCAATCGATCCATCAGCTTTATATTTCTTCTTTAGGATCCACTTGCATCCTAAAGGTTTACAACCATCAGGGAGATCAACCAACTCCCAAGTATGATTCTGCATAATGGACTCGATTTCGCTATTTACAGCTTCTTCCCAGAGTGGTCCATCTGGGCTGGACAGAGCTTCCTTAAGGGAACTCGGTTCATCGTTCAACATGTACGTAATAAAATCAGGTCCAAACGTTTTCGCCGTTTTTACCCTTTTACTACGTCTAGGTTCTTCATCAGTACCCTCTGGTACAGAACCACTAGCAGTTTCATATGTTCGTTTATTAGAAATAGATTCTGCTCTTTCCTTTAGAGGAAATATATTCTCAAAGAATATAGCATTCCTCGACTCAATCGTGGTACCAATAGATACCTCTGTATTTTCTGATTTATGAATCAGAAATCTATATGCCGTACTATTGTACGCATATCCAATAAATACACAATCGACCGTCTTTGGCCCGATTCTCATTTGTTTGGGTTCCGGTACTGAAACCTTAGCCAAACACCCCCACACTTTCAGGTATTTATAAGACGGTTTACGATTTTTCCACATTTCGTAAGGAGTCTCATCTTTCCCTTTAGGTGGTATTTTATTCAGGATATGATTTGCTGTTAAAACAGCTTCCCCCCACATGTTCTGTGGTAATCCTGAATTTATCAACATGGCATTCATCATTTCTTTTAACGTACGGTTCTTGCGTTCAGCAACACCGTTCGACTGTGGAGAATAAGGGGCTGTCGTTTGATGAATTATGCCATATTCAGAACATATTTGTTCAAAAGGAGCTACATACTCCCCACCCCTATCACTTCGAATTATTTTGATCTTTTTACCGAGTTTATTTTCAACTTCGGTCTTATAGATCTTAAATACTTCCACAGCCTCGTCTTTGCTTCTTAATAAATATAAGTAGCAAAACCTTGTGCAATCATCGATAAAAGTAATAAAATACTTTTTACCCGTTCTTGTTTGCACACTTTTCATATCACATACATCAGTATGGATTAAGCCTAATGGTTCAGTACACCTTTCCACCGAGTGAAAAGGCAACTTAGCCATTTTTGCTTCAATACAAATCTCACATTTCTTATGTGATTCAATTTTAGAATTAGGAATTAATTCTAAATTCATCAACCGTTTAATTGCATTTCGATTTACATGTCCCAATCTAATATGCCATAAATCAGAGCACTCAACGGTATAAACAGAAATAGGCTTTTCATTATCATTTAAAACGGTTACACGGCCCACGGCCATTACATTCATTTTAAACATACTCTTGTCGAGATAGCCACGACCAAGGAAAGTTCCAAACTTACTAAGAACAAATTTCTTAGCATCAAATACTAGCCTAAATCCATGCTCAACAAGAAGAGATCCGGAGACCAAATTCTTGCGGATGTCTGGGACATGCAGAACATCCTTAAGCTTCAACTCCTTTCAGAAGTCAGCTTCAGCACCACAGTGCCCACTCCAGCCACATCAGCCGTGGCGGAGTTTGCCATGTAAAGTTTCCGACTCTTAGCAGGATTGTATTCAGAGAACACCTCCTTATCGGAACACACATGACGAGTGGCACCAGTATCGATGTACCACTCCCTTGGGTTATCCACCACATTGGCTTCAAACACCACAGCCGACATATCAAAGTCGGCCAGTTCACCCGACACAGGACCGTGTTCAGCCACAAGGACACTCGGTTTACCTTTCTTTGGCCCAACCTTCTTTGGCCTCTTGCAATCTTTAGCCATATGGTTCGGCTTTCCACAATTATAACAAGTCCCGGTAAACTTCCAAACCTTGGCAGGCTGCTTCCCTTTGTCTAGGGACTTCCTTTTGCTCGAGTTGCCTTGCTCTATCAAGTTAGCACGAGCCTCCATCATCGGAATTTTTCCCGATGAATTACGATTGTCCTCCTCAATACGAAGACGAACAATCAAGTCTTCAAGACTCATTTCATTCCTCTTATGTTTGAGGTAGTTCTTGAAGTCTTTCCAACCCATCGGCAGTTTTTCAATCACAGCGGCAACTTGGAATGACTCGCTCAGAGACATTCCCTAAGCATGAATATCGTGCAAGATGAGTTGGAATTCTTGCACTTGTGACACAACGGTCTTTGTGTCAACCATTTTGAAGTCAAGAAATTTTCCGACGACGAATTTCTTCGCCCCGGCATCCTCGGTCTTGTACTTCTTTTCCGAAGCAGCCCAAAGCTCTTTGGCAGAACCAACCGAGCTGTACACATTGTACAACTCGTTACTAAGTCCGTTCAGGACATAGTTACGGCAAAGGTAATCACCTTGCCCACAAGCTTCGTACGCAGTGCGTAGTTCAGTATTGGTCTCATTTTCAACAATAACCGGGGGGTCATCCTTCAGGTATTTCACCAAACCTAAAGTGGTCTGGTAAAAATGCATCTTTTGTTGCCACCTTTTAAAATCAAGCCCATTGAATTTTTCGGGCTTCTCAGCAGTAGGGACATGGACAGCAGGTACATGATTGATCGGATGCTGAGTGTTGGAACCATTTCCTGTGGAAGCCATCAGTCCAGTAGGTTGAGATATTCTTCTTGCGATTGTTAGAAATCGGGTATAAAAATTACACGGGAATCCTACGAACTGATATGTACTTTTCAGTTCTTACAGATAATCTATAAAATAGAAAATTACAATCGAACTGAAAAATAAATTACAACTGAAAAATAAATCAAAACTTAAAAAAAAAAAAAAAAAAAAAAAAAAAATTGAAAGATTTTAGCCGAGGCGAGTAAAACTCTTTCCGCAAGAAGAATACGCCCCGTGTGGCAGCTAACGGTTTAGGCGTAACTTCTCCAAAGATACAACGGCAAACGTCTCTAAATCTGTAGCACACCAGATTTACGAGCTCCGGCGAACTGAAACGGAGTCAAGAATTGAGCACTTTAAAAATATGAATAAAAAATATCTCTCTTTTGTTATTTTGATAACAAATAAATATTTCTATATTTTTCCCTCTAATATTTTTATTCCTCCAAAATTATTTTGGACAGATTTTTCTTTCTTTTCTTCCTCTTGCTTTCCTCTCTTTTCTTCTTTTTGGTGTTCTCTATTTCTTGTGTCTTTTTCTCCTTCTTTCAACACACATATATATAGCACACATGAGGAATCAATTGTTGAGTTGGGTGTGAATTGGTTGAGTTGTCCACCAATTTTTATTTCTACACGCATTAGATTGATCAAAATATTTAAAATGGTTGGAAAGTGGTTGTCCAAATTAATAAGTTGGTTTAACAACTTAATATATCCTAATTTATCACTCAATATTCTAACAGTTACTGCATTGGGAAAATGCTTCACAGAATTAAGGCTGTAGCATATTTGCAATCATTCAGCTTCAACTCCACTTAAAGCTGCCTATAAAATGCTGAATGCGGTTTGAACAGCTTTGAATTGTAGACAACGCTAGTGGCTGCGTGTAAAAATTCAGTAAATTTGTGCTGATATATTATGTTTATTATGTTACTGCAGCAGATTATATATGGCGTGATATGTTGGGGATGTTGTATATTTGATTGAAGGCTCGTTTATCTCTCTCTCTCTCTTGTAAGATATTTATACTGTGAAAATGATATGAGTTAGCTTGAAAGTAGCAGCTAAGAAAGTGTCAAGCAAAGTATGGCGATTTTTACCACTCACTCAGCTCTCTAAATATACACCTAATTGTCGGACAATAGATCGGAAATGCTATGAATAGAAATTCATTTTACTCGATCAATTACATCTTACTCGATCAATTAATAAATTAGAGCAAAGGGAAAGTAAGGTAGCAATTGAACATAAGAGTTCATTTCTTGAACGAAAACAAAACAATTTCAAGGAAACTATTATTATTCATTTTTTATTTCATTCACATTTTCTTTTACAGAATATCATTATAGACTTATAGTACTGAAATAATGAATAAAAATCGATCATTGTTAAGTATTTTTTATTAAAAAAATACTTTTCATCCACCTTCATATTTATAACTATAAATTAATAAAAAATACTTTTCATCCACCTTCATATTTATAACTATAAATTACAAGATTTCGAAAGAATGTGTACCTGTACCTTAGCCAAAAAAACCTAGTGAAAAAAAGTATTTTTTGCATATTTTTAAAAATAAACATTTGCAATTCTATAGTTCTATTATTTGGACTACTACTGAGCCCAATTACAGTTTAATTTAGATTTTAAGTCCATTTATAGTAAGCCCAACAACTCTTGACTTATTAATTTATTGGCCCGTTACCGGAATCTGTCAATTTCCAATTACCGAATCACTCGATTTCCAAAATTGTGAACTCCTTTATTAGCATCCACAAAATCTAGAATATTGTCTGGATCATCAGTTCCCATATTCTTCTCCTTTCTTTATATTTCAGCTCGCTTTCTGCAACGTACGGACCTTCTCAATTGTTCTTTCCACTCGTCAGGTTCGCACACAGACCTGATCGCATTTTGATTTGTATTTATGTGTTTGTATCTGTGCGTGAGCTTTAATGCGATGTTGAATTCAATTCTTTCGTGGCGATATTCGTCTTGTTGCGTGTTGATTGAGTTGAGTTGGTTGATAGCTCGTTTTGGTTTCTTGCTTTTACAATTATTGAGGGTTTTGATGTAATTGGAATATCTTGAGTCAACTTTTGGTTGTCCTGCTCAAGTAGGGGATGTGAATCACCTCTGTAGGAGATCAACATAGTTAAAAATGTTGGTGGTAATGTCTGAGGTGTAACTAAATGGTAGTAGCACATCTGATTTCATCTATCTGCTCTGCTATCGACTTTTGGCATTGTGGTAATCTTGCCTGAACCTTTTTGTTTGGTGGGGAGAATTGAAATAATTAGGTACCAATTTCTCTCGGATGCAATACGGACTTTTGATGGTAAGGATAAAGATTGTTTTGTTTGTCCCTCATGTTTAACTTCTCTAAGTGTTGTCAATTTGTGTATTATTTCACACACCCACATGGTTGTGTACCCCACATGTGAGATTGTGGGATTTCTGTTGTGTAAAGCAGAAAATGGAGACATTATTGGGGTGTATTTTGGAAATTATGGATAGGTAACTTTTTTGTATTCGAATTTAAACGTAGGTTTGAGTATATCCCTAAATTTATTGCTTTACTTGCATTTGATTATCCAGGGAGCTAGCACATACAATATGCAGGGGGGCAGAGACCCATTCTTTGGTTTTGGTGATCCTTTCGGTAGTTTTGGAGGCCAAAGAAGTCTAATCTCTAGTTTTTTCGGTGGAAATGATCCGTTTGATGACCCGTTTTTCACACGTCCCTTTGGGAGCATTTTTGAGTCGAACTTTTTTGGGTTTAACGGAGGTCCATTTATGAACCCACTTTCTTCTGGATTCCTTGAACATCAGCCTACCCGGCTCAATTCATCAAGGGGACCAGTGATTGAGGAGCTGAATTCTGATGAGGAGGCTGTTGAAAAGGAAAGTCGAAAAGATAAAAAAGAGAATCCTAGGAAACATGGAAGATCTGGCAAAGAGCCTTTTGTGCAAGACCCTGATGATGAAGCAACTGGTGTGTGTTGTGCATTGTACATAATTATCATATATAGTTCATTGTGGTTGATCACACTGTTCTTGTTGACTGGGCATAATATACAACATTTTGTTCTTGTAGAGAAAAAGAGTAAGCATATGGCTCGTCCAAATGAGATTTACCAGATGCAAAATGCAAGGTCACAGCCTCAGACTCATAGCTTCACTTTCCAAAGTACCACTGTTTCTTATGGTGGTGCTAATGGTGCGTACTACACTTCTTCTAGCACAAGGAGATCGGGGAGTGATGGAGTGAGTGCAATTTCCTTTGCAGACTCAGGCTATTTCTTAATACTGTTTTCCTCTTGGTGGTTGATTCTGATGTATGTGTGTTATATTATTTTCCAATCTAGTTGACATTCGAAGAAATCAAAGAAGCTGATTCATCTACTCGTCAAGCAACTCATAGGGTCTCGAGGGGCATCCATGACAAGGTACTGTTTGCGTTGTTCTTTGCATTGCATATCAGGAACATCAGTTTGTGACTGGAATCTGGAATCTTACGGAAATGTACATCTTGTTCTAGGGCCATTCCATCACCCGGAAGTTGAACTCAGATGGGCATGTTGACACAATGCAGACTCTTCATAATCTTGATGAAGGTAACCTGATTCTTTTATGCGATGTTATAGCCTTAGTACTCTTTTGCTCACTTGTGGAATATATTTATGTATCTTTTGCTTAGATGAACTTACGGGTTTTGAGGAAGCATGGAAAGGAAATGCCAGAAAGTATCTCCCTGGGTTGGGCGAAGGATTTGCTAATCAAGATTCTACAGGTAGGCTGATCGTTTACTTTTGTATGCACACTTTCTTTATTAATTTAATTTAACTTAAGTTTTTAAATTTCTCTGAGGCACTGAGATTAAATTATTGAAATCCCGTGATGATTCTACATTGTGAACAGATTTTGCGATTAATAAAATAGTTTGCATTGCTTGATTGGCTTTTCAACTTTATGCTAATATACTGCAATTGAGAAGGTGATTTACTTCATCTGGTTCTGGTGGTATAGATAAACAACTGATAGTAACAGTTATTTATATCTTGTAGGATCCTTGTAGGTAAAAATTCAGCCTTAATAAACGAGAACTAGCGATCTCTGTGAATTGGCTAAAGTTTTAAGATATTTGCAATCATCACTAAAATTCGGTTTCCTCTTGATAGATTCTTTCTAAATTCGGAAGGAACTCAGTTCCAAGCACTAGATGTTATGATTTTGTCCTTCGTGTTAGAACTTGATATTTAGATTGAGACCACTTGTTGTTTGACACGTCAGTTTAAAAAATTTTAGGGTCTGGAAGCATTAATCAGCACAGGCTTAGCAGAGGTGGATGGGCTCTGCCTTCAACCGAGAGGTCAAACAATCAAGAAAGCTCGAAACCAGATATCAGAGCCATGGCTGCCCCTTCACGTCATTCAGCAAGAGCCAAAACTGATAGTAGTGGTCCATCACGCATTAGCTCAAAAGGAAATGGATCTTCCAAAAAGGGCAATAATAAACTTTAGGAGTTTTGGGAGACTATTTTGTCCGAGTATTCTAATCTAGTCCCGGCACTTATATCGTGAGTTGAATATACCTCCATTTGAAAATCTGATGACAGTTGTGAAAATCTATATTACCAAGCTGAGCGTATTTCACTGTATTTTGTCTGGTGTCGTTACTATTGTCTTTTGCTTATACGGTTTAACTGTACAAGCCATTGTTTCGGCATGTATGATTATGCAGCATCTGGGGTGCTGTTGATGTATCTTATCTGAGGTTTTTATGGTCTACATTTATGATGATTTAAGCAGAACATTTATTGCCGAATGTCAGCTTTTATTAGTCTTGAATAGTCTCATGAAATAAGAAACAGGGACCGTGCACTTAGTACCATAGGCTGCTGTGTGTGCGATTAGATATAAATAAAATCGGTTTTGATGATTGAATTTATTAGTTAAAAAAGTTAATATTGAGTGGAGGATTGAGTGACACTAGTAATCAACTTATGCATTTACACAGAGAAGAATACTTTAAATAGATAATAATATAAAAAAAATAAAAATAAATCATAATTTAATTCATGAAAAAATATGAATTAAGACAATAATTCTCAAAATTGATTTTGATCAAGTAATTGCTATGGAAGAGCCGTTACAACCATTTTTTTATGTCAATACATTCGACCATTTTCATGTGTGGGTGTGACTTAAAATTTGAGTACAATTTGTAACTCTCTTGATTGGTTTATGCTCATAATTTATGACATTCAAGCAAGTTATTTTGTAACTTAAAAATGAAAATTGAATGTTGAAAATTTTTTAGGGATAATAAAATTTAATGCATGATAATATAATTAAATGCTATGTTGCTCCTCTTTATATATATATATATATATATATATATATATATATATATATATAGATTTTGAATTCATATTATAATAATATTTAAAATATAATAATTAAATTTAATGTGATATGAAAATAAGGGAAATGCTCTCTTATCCACGGTTGGCACATGTTAATATGCCCACCCACCGCTTATGTGGCATGCAAACATTCGTGATGTTAATATATTAAAAAAAAACATCACCAATGTGTGCATGCCACATAAGCGGTGGACAATTAACATGTGCCCACCATGAGTATGGGTGCATTTTCGATGAAAATAAAGAAGAGAGATGTTATTGGAATAAAACAAAGATAAAAATATGTGAGTTTATGTATAGTGAATTACAATTAATGTAAAAATATGTAAATGTATGAATTATGAATTAAAATTGATGTGATGTATAAGGATTAATGATTTCTATTATTTAATTATATTGATAATATTGAAATAAGTTAGTGATTAATAAGTTTAATTTTGAGTTATAGAGTGTAAAAAAATTGTCGGCTTTATAAATTATATTTTATAGCCAATGGCGCAATGTTATATATTTTGATAGATCAAATGATAATATCAACTTTCATTGTCTTTTTCCCTCTTGAAATTCCAGTTTTATGGGTATCTGAAAAATTGAAAATTAAGATNATTTATTGATATATAATTAAAATATCTTTGAGAATAAATAAATTCCAATAACATAGTTTAGTTTCATTATCATTAATTTATGGGTTTTCCTGATGTGCTTATTTAGTAGTATTTTAGGCACTAAAATGAACTAACGAAATCTTAAATTTAATTGAAAAAATACTTTATTCATTTATTTGAACACAAATAGAAGGGTCGCGAGAACTGAGAAAAATGTGTACTCTTCTATGGCTGCTATTTGTTCTGATAAAATATTTTTAAAACCACATTTCTGTATTGAATTAGTGATCGAGCAATAGAAGCAAGTCATCCCAATTCGAAAAACGGAAACTTGAATCAGTTGGCAATTTAGGGTAATAATGGCGGCGATAAGAGTCACAACCAGTACGGTTATGGTTGCGCGATCAATTTTCCGGCCAAGGCTTCTTCCACCAACCTTTTCTCTCCGGGTATTGCCGGTGACTGGCTTTAGAAAGATTTCCTTACGAGCTCCGGCCGGATTTTGTGCTGTAAGGTGCTCCTCAACGAAGTCCGGCGCTGGAGCCGGCGAGAAGAAGTCTCCGGCGCGGCTGGCTGAGGTCCAGCGGCTTATGAACAAAGCCAAGGAGCAGTATAAAGACGCAGGAGGTGGCGCGGAGCCCATCCCTCAAATAAGACTAGGTACAGTTTAGCTTTATCTTTATGTGTGTCAGTGTGTGAGACAGAACAATATGTTTGGTGGTGTTGTGGTGTAGATGAATTCCATTTTAGTTGAATTGTTGTAGAAGAAAGGATCATTACTGACCTAGCTAAGGAAATTGAGTTACTATGATGGTTTGGTGTTTCGGGTTTATCTCAACTATTGGAAAAATGTTTTAGAATTTGTTTTCTTGATTGGATTACGGTAATTGAGTGAACAAGTGCTGGATTTCCATCTTCCTTGTAATCCGGTGGCTGATTATTTCAATCATTGAACTTTTACTAGCTCCAGGTGTCTAAAGTTGTGTGTAAGATGATATTTCATCTCATCTGCATTTTATTATCATTAGGCATTAGACCATGCATGAATGTCACTTTGGCAGCCCTTTTGTTACCTTGTTGTCGAGTGATAAGTATACAGACATATTCATGCCTTTGTTTTTTTGGGCTATCCATCTACCATTTGTTTTCAGCTTTACCTTGTACGATGAATGGCTTACTGTACATTTCTCATCTTCTATTTATGTCTACAGATTATGTGACCGTAAGTTATGCTAGGAGCGGTGGGCCAGGGGGACAAAATGTCAATAAAGGTTTCGGATGCCTCATTTCATACTCAGTTGATAACTGTTTCAGTTGGCCAATCGTTTAAAGCTCTAATTTGAATTTTTGTGGCTGCAGTAAACACCAAGGTTGATATGCGGTTTAATGTAAAAAATGCGCATTGGTTGAGTGAAAGGGTGAGGGAGAAGATAATGCAAATGGTGAGTTGTTTCTTAATGTTCCGTCTCTCTATGGTTTGGGTTTGTGCTTTGCCTACTTTCTTGTTCTAGTTTGTACCCATTTTAGCACCCATGTGTATTCGTGTATGAACTATTGGCAGATGTGTTATGTGGATACTTTCATGTTTTCTTGATTTGTTCCGATCTGTACTTGAGTGAATGTTGTCTGCCTTTTATCATTCAACAGAACTTTGAGAAATTAGCGACCGCAGTCTCCTTACAGCGAAGAACTAAACTTAATAAAAACAAAAAAGAAAAAGAAAAATAAATACAGGGCTCATAAACTATCATATTAGGTGTGACAAATACCTATATTTGTTCAAAAAAAAAAAAGTTATGCCAAGTAAATCTGTAAATGTGAAGGTGTTGTACCTAACTGCTTTAATATGGACAGTTGGGAACTGAGGCCCGCAATATTCTTATTGCTATATTGGATCTTTCTATCCTCTTCTTTGACAGGAGAAGAACCGGATCAATAAAGATGGGGAGCTTGTGATATCTTCCACAAAGACTAGAACTCAGAAGTAAGGGTTTCCTTGTTACCCTTAGGCCCATTTGGATGTGAGGGTGTTGTGGAAATGGATAGGGAATATTTTTAAATCTACTATAGAAAACCATAAGAGTTTGTTAAGATACATTGGATTTTAGCCCATTTTGAACTATTTTGGTAGTCACTGGGTATATCTTGGAATCCTTTTCTTATGGAATTATTTGAAATCATTACTACTCCCTATCATCTCCAGAGTTCAAAATCCTTGCATTCAAGTGCAACCTTATGTCTTTACGTTTTCTGTTGTTGCTGGAGCAATTATTTACATAGTACTGTTTTTAGGGGCAACACTGAAGATGCTTTGGCGAAAATACAGGTATTTACTTGCTAAAATAAAGAAATAGTATATGTATTATGAATACTACTTATAGTTATGCCTATGAGATCATACATGATGGGTTGTAATTGTTCTCATTTTTCTGCCACCGAAAAAATGGTTCGGTTGTTTGCTTCTATTATTTTGTAAATGCATGCTGCAGGCTATCATCGATGCTGCTTCCTATGTGCCGCCGCCACCTTCAGAAGAGACATTGAAAAAGATTGCCAAACTGTAAGAAAAGGCGATCAATATGTTTTTCAGATTCTCGCTCAAATCTCTACCATAGTTAATTAATGAGGATAAAATTACGGTGTTAACCAACCTTTTCCTTTCTCGATCAAAGGTCTGCTGCTGGGGAACAGAAAAGGCTGGATAAGAAGAAAGCCCTGTCACAAAAGAAAGCACAAAGAAGAAGCCGTGACAGCTGGGACTGATGTGTGGGCGTATAAAAGCATAGGCTGTTAATAGTGATTACTTTCCCGTGATTGAGCCATAAAGTGATTTCGAGAGTGAATCAAACTAACTTCGCCAGAACCGCTTAAGAAAGAAGAACCACTTTACCATTCGGAGGAAGCATACAATTTACAATATAATAGACTGGTGGCTCGTTATTTATGTGGCTAGAGAGCCTACATTTTTTTGTTAGGTTTCTGAAGGTTTGGGCTTTCTTTTTATTTATTTTCACGAAAACTGACCCTACGTTTCAAAGAAACTGTTCTTCATCTAGAGTGCAATGGGCAATAGCTATTTTCACCTGTCAAATCGTAATTGTCTTGTTTGTGCTATGCATGCTGGTTGTTGCTGCTTTATTTGAGTCCAGTACTTTGTGTTCAAGTTTGAGCTCGTGCTCATTCAATAAACGAGCCAACTGTCTCATTTAGTTGTTCGAGTTCAGTTCAAACTGAATTTTTTTTCTTTGGATAGTTTCAATCCTTGATAAACTGCAGATCGAGATTCAAACTTTGAATCTCTCAACTTTCCTAAAAACACTATTTCTTCTACCTCCATCACTTCCAAGACTATTTTACTATACAAACTATACACATACTACAATATAAAGGAAAAAAAAAACCCAAAAAAATCTCAGCATTTCCTGAACACAAACTCCTCTCCCGACCGCTGGTCAACATGTTTGACCCATCTGCTCTTCCTCTTCTCCCCACTACCACCCGTGGCCCCAACGTGCGCAATATCCAAACCTTTCCCGACTGGCAAAAAAACCGACCTCACGATCCTCCTCCTCATCTCCCCACCAATCGCCTCCCGCCACCTGGACTCCGAGTCTGCCCGCCAGCTGGCGTTCTTGCACACGAGCACTGCCCCTCTCTCACACAACCTAGCAGCCCGCAAAATCCCCGCAAGGTCGTCCCGCGCGCAGTCCGCCACCAAGAAGTCGATCCCTTCCAATTCTCCCACGGCACTTTCCGTGGGGCCCACCACCACTTCGCCAGCTGGCAGCCCGTGGCCTCTCATGGACTCCGCATATGCTGACCTGGACGCCTCGTCATTGACTAAGCAAACGTGTTTTGCGCCCGTGTGGGCTGCAGCAACTTTAAGCCCGATGCTGGTTGCCATGGGCCTGCCTCGGGCCCACGTCTCGACTATTAGCCGGGCATTCCACCCAGCGGCCATGGCTGAAACGAGCTCGGCTACNTGGGTCTTCTCTTCTTTGTCTTGGTTGTTAAAGCTGTGCTTTCCTTAGCGTGTGAAAGGTGAAGTGGATTATGGTTGTTTGCAACATGGGGGGTTTTTAAATGAGCAATTTGGACAAAAAATGTCAATGTCAAAAGGGTTGACAAACTGTAAAAAACTCCAAGGCAAATCCAATGTGGAGATTTGTATGTTGTGAACTCAAATTGCGTTGCTTATCGAATAACTGAATTTCTTTATGGTGACGTTGACCTTGATCAGTCATCTTACATTTATCTGTTTGTATAGTCAGACTATCATTAAAAGAAAATTGCCATTTGAAGATTATTATGTATGGGAAGGTCTTTAGAGAGGAACATTTGTTTATTTAATTAGAGTTTTTGCACTTATTAGAAAATTTTATCATGTTTGTTATTGTTTTATCTTAATTTACATTACTATTGTTACAGAGATAAAGGGTAAAAGGACCAAACTTTATCATGTTCGTGGCATAAAGTAAAGTTCAATCAATACTTATGCCTGTGTTCAATTGTCTACTTGTTTTCTACATTTCTTGGTCATTTAGATCACGGATTACATATTGGACCACAAACATTTGTTGGAAGTTCTAATATCAATTTTTTCTTCAAAAATAAGTTTTCAGAGGCAGAGTACGTGTATGATGGATTGTGCGAGAAGTAATAATATATAGTGCTAAAATATAAAATATGTCATATGTATGATGGATGACATATAATAGTATGATACAATTTGAGATATATATTGGTTACAAGAGAATAACAATTTCAATAGTTTGATTTATTTCTAACAATCGCATATAATAATATTCTTTTGGCTGGTCTCTTTTTTCACACCAATATATAGGAGAACAGAACAAAGTATCGTTTGAGAATAAATCCAATTACAAATCCAAAACGAGATAAAAGAACAAAAGAATTCATGGTTCTCACGTAGCAGCCTGAATAATTCTTTATCTTATATCTCTTTCTAGATCACATGAACCAAAAAATAATTTGATTAATGAGATTTGTAAAATATGTTAGGAAATATTATTTTGTATGAATAATTTAATTACGAACAACAATATTATATCCAATCATATTATATGTTCAGTTATTTTTATAAATTTATTAAGTGATCCAAATAAAATAAAAGCCATGAGCTACATAATGAATATAGAACTATATAAAGTAGATATATATTACTACTGATTGCGAGTTGTCTATTGAGTGTATAGGCTCTTTGGTTATGATCCCAAATACACTACATCGCATATAATTTTTTATTTTCTCAATAAAAAATAATTTTGAAGATTTAGTTGAGAAAGAGTATAAGTTATAAAAAGTTTTCCAATCGTCTTCATGATATATGTTGAATTCATAAGGATTAAATCTGTATTTAAAATAAGTTTTGTGTTATCTACTTATAACTTTTTATTATTCAATATAAAGTTCTTTCATATAATATTAATTCCAACAAAGTATGTATAACGTAATCATGCCTTGAAAAATGTGGTAACGCAAATGGATTAATGCAACTAGTTGGGATTTTTACCTATAATATTAATAATTGATTGACTATAAGCATATATAGTGGTAATACTAATAAATTGATTGCATGCAACATTGTTGAAATGGTCCAAATAATTAAATTAACGAAAATATTTAAAGCTGTCACACGTACTAATTAACTGTACGTATAAGAATTGTTTTGTCCTAGTCAGTTTACAATAAAGGCTATATCGTTATCTTGTATATATGTATAATTGAGAGTTTTGTACTCTCTTTTTCTATATTTTCTATTGTTATATATCTTGATATTATAATTATCTGACAGAACTTATTAAAAAATTAAAGTAAATTATATAAAAATAATCTTATAAATAAACCATACTAGTAGAGTACTAATTAACACTTGTGTGGTACTAACACTTGCTTGAGTATTACATGGGTGATAATAAAAAATATTTATCTCTAAATTTTAAAAACAAAAAACCTAAGTTTTTGAATAATATTTAAAAATACATTATATATATTTAAAATAATAATCGTTACTTGTACGACTTATCCCTTTTATATTGTAAATTATTTTACTATTTTTCAATTAATATCGATAGGTAATTTAATACTCATTATAATTGTAAATATATATTTATTTATAATATACAATATGAATGTCAAATCAAAATTCTCTAGAGATAATTAGTTTAATAAATTATATAAAAATCATTACGAAACAAGTTAATATATAGGTTATATATGAACTACTCTGAACACCAAAATTGATACATAAATAATTAGGAAACAGATTGACATATAGGTTATATATAAACTATATATATAAAGCACCAAATATTAACATCTAAATAACGAAGCACTACTGATGCAGAATAATTAGATTATTATTATTATTATTATTATTATTATTATTATTATTAGTTATCTTGGAGAATAAGTTAGGAATTGTTTAATATTTAATAAGAGTTCTTGTATTGTTGGACAAGTTAAGTCTACGGTTAGGAGCCTTATATAAAGGACTCCCCCTAGTTTATTTTCATTAGTTGATTATTGAATGAAAAATGAGATTGTGAGTTTTATCGAGAGAGTATCTCGTTTGTTTATCTTTCCCATTCGTACGCTTTCCCTACATCAGTTGGTATCAGCAGTCAATACGATTCGCGATGTCGCTGGGACGAGAAGATGCCGCAGACGAACGACGTGACGCAACCTTCAACGATCGGTTTCAACATATCGACTACCGATTTGAACAATTGGACGTGCGTTTCATGGATTGGTTTGCCGATCTTTCGACGAGGATCGAGGATGTGCATTTGACGCTTAACAACGTGATTGTTTCGGAATTGCAGACGAACCGCGATGGGGTTGTGGGCCGTGGCTTTCGCAGGGGAGACAGAGACGGTTGTGGGGGACGCAGCCATGTCGGGGCGCCCCGGCAGCGATCCCCGCCACCTCTGAACGGCATCAAGGATGGTGACTTTACCTGGTCGGCTAACCCGTTGGCAGATCGACCACCATGGCGAGGAGACGAAACCACAGGTCAGCCCCGAGTTCGCGAGCAGCGGCGGGCTGGAGGTAGTTTCGTACATGGAGGCGGATTTTGGGCGTGTGAAAGACACGACTCCAGTTGCACTTCTGGGCCTCACAAAAGCATTTTTTGGGCTTGTGAGGGTGATGTCGTTTTTGGGCCTACGCCTAATTCAATTTATTGGGCTCAGGGGAAGGATGAATTTAATCCTTATTTTGGGCCTGAACAGCCACAAACAGGCTTTGACTTCGAGTTTATAGATTCCTTGAATTTTGAGCCCGACACGTGCGATATCTACGACGGTCCGCCAATTTTTGATGAAGAGCCTCTGGTGACGAAGACATATTTTTGCAGTAATATGGGTCCCGCGTGGGACGTCGCAATGGTTGAGTCTTCGAATGGGCAACCGTCATTCACACCCGATTTTTTGAGTATTTTGGCCAAAGATGGTTTTTCGGAGCCGAAGCCGAGACTCCATAACTGGTGGGCCATTTTTCGATTGTTGTTCCCGAAGTCTCCCAACACCGGGATGCTTGGCCGTAGTTATAGATTTATGCGCGGTGAACGATGTGGTCTGTTTTGTGTTCATTCGGTTGTGTGGGCTTTGCGTCGAGTGTCGTATACATGTGACTTTGCGGCAGTTGAATCCTTGACCGAGATTATGTTTACCTTCGAGATTATTGGACGACTTTCAACCTTCGTGTTCGATCGGGGAAAACGTTCGGGTTGTTGTTGTGTTGCGAACGTCTCGCACGGGAACGGGTCGGATTCGAGGGCGAATCCTGCTCAACCGGAGGAGAATGATGCAGAATAATTAGATTATTATTATTATTATTATTATTATTATTAGTTATCTTGGAGAATAAGTTAGGAATTGTTTAATATTTAATAAGAGTTCTTGTCTTGTTGGACAAGTTAGGTCTACGGTTAGGAGCCTTATATAAAGGACTCCCCCTAGTTTATTTTCATTAGTTGATTATTGAATGAAAAATGAGATTGTGAGTTTTATCCAGAGAGTATCTCGTTTGTTTATCTTTCACATTCATACGCTTTCCCTACATCAACTACCAGAATAATAAATAGGTTTTGAAAACTTTATAGGGAGAATTATTTAGCACTACCTCTAATAATCTTTAAATCACGTGACACCGTTTCAACCCCCAACGCTTCAGATCGTATAAAGTCCCACGATTTTAGTTCTCACGAACAATAATAACACACCTTAATCAAACAGGAATTAATTATTATCATTTTCAAAATTAAAAATGTAATTTATTTCTTATACGTCTTAGATATATAAAACTTTCTTGTCACTACCAAAGGCAGTTGGTAATTTTAGACAAGTGGTGTGTATACTATACTTTAACTATATACAATTCGTGTAAAGGAGTAATCGAGTTTAATTAATGATGTGTTTGTAGTATAAAGTTTCCCAGTTTTTCAAATTTTATTCCCAATGTAAGTACTATTGCTCCGAATAGTATTTCCCAGTTTCCCAGTTTGGAGTATAAATTTTCCGACACCCTTGTGTTCACTGACGTCCTTTCGCATGAAATATTGTGAAGAAACCAATTAATAATGGCGTTGAAAAACATATACATTGCGAGTTCGTGCTGGCAGATGAAGTTAATCAAGAGTTGACAAAATTACTCCGCTATTTTCAAATACACATCATCCAATTTCCTCAATTTACATGTTATACGCAAGTATCAATTCAGTGAGAAATTCTATTGAGTCATCGGATCGGATGGCTCTCTTATGGAATCATCCATAACTTTATGTTATGACACATGTCTAATGTGTATTTATTTCAGAACACGTGTCAATACATCATTTGTGAGTGTCAATACACTATTTGTGAATAACTATAGATGACTCCATAAATCGAATCATCCGATGGCTTTATAGCAAAATTGTGTATTTGAGATTTACATTTATTAATTTAAAATTTATTAGTTTCTATTCAAGAGTTCCAATGATAGGTCAACTGTGTATTTGAGATTTAAATTAAAAAAAAAATCTATTGATCCGAATTCTAATAAATATATAATATTTTCCATTTAAGACTTTAAAGATTAAAATCATTATATTCTTCTTAACAAAGGTGTCATGACAATCAAGAAAATAAATAAAAAACAATTGAATATAAAGAAAAGCTAAAACATAGATGAAAAGACTTCATTAATTTTTTTTTATTTTTTTTTTCGGTACGTGCAGAAATTTTGTTGGAAGTTCTAATATCAATTTTTTCTTCAAAAATAAGTTTTGAGAGGCAGAGTACGTGTATGATGGATTGTGCGAGAAGTAATAATATATAGTGCTAAAATATAAAATATGTCATATGTATGATGGATGACATATAATAGTATGATACAATTTGAGATATATATTGGTTACAAGAGAATAACAATTTCAGTAATTTGATTTATTTCTAACAATCGCATATAATAATATTCTTTTGGCTGGTCTCTTTTTTCACACCAATATATAGGAGAACAGAACAAAATATCGTTTGAGAATAAATCCAATTACAAATCCAAAACGAGATAAAAGAACAAAAGAATTCATGGTTCTCACGTAGCAGCCTGAATAATTCTTCATCTTATTTCTCTTTCTAGATCACATGAACCAAAAAATAATTTGATTAATGAGATTTGTAAAATATGTTAGGAAATATTATTTTGTATGAATAATTTAATTATGAACAACATATTATATCCAATCATATTATATGTTCAGTTATTTTTATAAATTTATTAAGTGATCCAAATAAAATAAAAGCCATGAGCTACATAATTAATATAGAACTATATAAAGGAGATATATATTACTACTGATTGCGAGTTGTCTATTGAGTGTATAGACTCTTTGGTTATGATCCCAAATACACTACATTGCATATAATTTTTTATTTTCTCAATAAAAAATAATTTCAAAGATTTAGTTGAGAAAGAGTATAAATTATAAAAAGTTTTCCAATAGTCTTCATGATATGTGTTGAATTCATAAAATCTGTATTTAAAATAAGTTTTGTGTTATCTACTTATAACTTTTTATTATTCAATATAAAGTTCTTGAATAGATGATTTTTATATAATATTAATTCCAACAAAGTATGTATAACGTAATCATGCCTTGAAAAATGTGGTAACGCGAATGGATTAATGCAACTAGTTGGTATTTTTACCTATAATATTAATAATTGATTGACTATAGGCATATATAGTGGTAATAAATTGAATGCATGCAACATTGTTGAAATGGTCCAAATAATTAAATTCACGAAAATATTTAAAGCTGTCACGCGTACTAATTAACTGTACGTATAAGAATTGTTTTGTCCTAGTCAGTTTACAACGAAGGCTATATCGTTATCTTGTATATATGTATAATTGAGAGTTCTGCACTCTCTTTTTCTACATTTTCTATTGTTATATATCTTGATATTATAATTATCTGACAGAACTTATAAAAAAATTAAAGTAAATTATATAAAAATAATCTTATAAATAAACCATACTAGTAGAGTACTAATTAACACTTGTGTGGTACTAACACTCGCTTGAGTATTACATGGGTGATAATAAAAAATATTTATCTCTAAATTTTAAAAACAAAAAACCTAAGTTTTTGAATAATATTTAAAAATACATTATATATATTTAAAATAATAATCGTTACTTGTACGACTTATCCCGTTTATATTGTAAATTATTTTACTATTTTTCAATTAATATCGATAGGCAATTTAATACTTATTATAATTGTAAATATATATTTATTTATAATATAAACTACAACAAAAAAGAGTTCTAGCAACATAATTATTGTGACGTTTTTAATAAATGTAGTTAAAATTGATGTATTTGCAACGCTTTTTAAAAAGCGTTACAAAGATAAAATTATAACAACGCTTTTTTAGAAATGTAATCAAATTATGTCACCTTTTAAAATATGTCACCATGTTAACTAATATTAAGACATTTATTTCAAAGTGTAATTAAATTATTACGTTTTATACAAAAGTGTCGTCATGTTTAGTTATATAGCGACACATTTTGAAAACTGTACTAAAATAGTAACACATATTTAGAGAATGTCACAAGTTTTACTAATATTGAAATATTTACATTAAAGTATAATTACTTTATGACACTTCAAAATACGATTTTTGTATAAACCCAACGTCAAAATGCATTTTCTCAAATCTTTCCAAAAGACCTAAAATCTGTCAACCCTAGCGGTGGTGGAGGTGGCAGGCGCTAGCACGAGGAGCGGCAGCAGCGGCGGTAGGCGTAGCACCTGAGACGACGACAGAAGGAGAGGGGACCAGGAGCTGCAAGGCAACGACACAGAGAAAGACTCGGCGAGCGACGAGGCGTCTTCATTCTAGCCAGAGCCGGCCCTGGCCCAGGGCAGGCAGGGCGATGGCCCAGGGCCCAAATGAAATGAGGGGCACCATGTGCCAGGCCCATTATACTTAATAATAATATATATATAATATGTATGTATTGTATATATAGTTATTATGTTATATATAGTGTTTTTAAAAGCGCAACTTAGGGCACCTGCATCGCGGGAATTATTTGCCCGTTTAAACGCGCCACTCCCGTTCAACATGGATGTGAGGCATCCATTATATGGGGGGCCCCATTTGGCCGTTCATTGCATTGAACGGCTTGGTGTCTATTTTTTTTTTATTTTTTCTGTTTTGTTTTCAATTAATTTGTTTATTTTTGTTTTGTTTTGTTTTCAATTAATTATTTTTTTTATTATGTAATGTTAATTTATGTCTTTTTAAATTTGATAATATTTAGTGTATTTTAAAAATTAAAATTAAATATTCTAATTAAAAAATATATTTATTTTGTTAGTAATAAAATATAAAAATAGTATTGAATGAGTGGATGATGGGTCCCATATGTTTGTGTTTAAATGAATGATTGAATGTGGGTGTGTATTTAAATGGAGAGATGTTTAGTGGAAAGATGATGTGGATGTGATGTGGATGAGAGAGTGTAAATTGTGATTGAATGAATGTTAAGGGATGTAGATGCCCTTAGCGACCTATGTCGCGCGAAATAGCGCAAATTTCCTGAAAAACGCGCCATAGCGCCTGTAATTTAGCGCAGTTCCAACATAGCGTACGCTTTTGATGACGTGGCATGCATTTTTCGGATAGCGTAAGCGATTTGTGCTATAGCTTAAAATCTGCACGCTATTTGGGACCCTAAAAAAATTGAAGGCAGAAAACTAATCCCAGCTCCCTTCATCATTTCACTTCTCACATCCTCTGTTTCCTCGACTCTCGTCTCTCGCTCTCGCCTTTCGCCCAGCTCTCGGCACCCCCAAAGTCCCTTCTCCTCGGCTCTTTGTACCCTACATCCCTTGCACGGTTGCACCTCGACTTTCAACTCCAAAGGTATCATTTTGTTTTACATTTGAGATTATTAATAGCTTCAGTGAATGATTTCGTTTTCTCGCTCTCGCCTTTCATTTTGTTTTTTTCTTTTTTTGAAGCTGCTTCACAGAACATGAATTGAAATTGGCCCTCTTCTAGTGAATTATTTCGATTTTTTTTTAAATTAGAGTGAGATAAAAGGATTGATGGAGATTGATGTTTGATTGCATTTTTTTTATGTGTATTTTTCGATTTTTTTTTTTAAATTAGAGTGAGATATAAAGATTGATGGAGATTGATGTTTGATTGCATTTTTTTTATGTGTATTTGCCTATTTGCTGATTGGGTCTGGCTATTTTTTTTAATGATTCAGAGTATATAGAAGACTAGAAGTATAGAACAGATCTATTTAATTTGATGATTCTATTGTAGTTGAAGTGTGTCCTGATTCTTGAATATCTGAGTATGGAACATATAAGACATAAATGAATTGTGTCCTGAATTATTTCCATTTGGTAATGGAACATCAGTGAGGTATTTAAAGAAGTATGCAGTTGTTTTTTTATTAGAATGATTGATTAAATGTTTCTAAACTTAAATTATTAGTTTGTTTATTATTAAGGTTAAGAAAATGGATCCAAACATAACTGGATAGATGAAGAGATTACTGTTTTGTTGTGATTACTGTTCTTATTACAGTCAAATAATGAATTGGATGAGGCCAATTATTTTTAGATTTTGAGCTGCCAAAAGCGAACTCTACGCTCGGTAGCTTCCCAACTCGTTTCAGTCAACAGATGCCATAGCCCTCGGGGATTACTTTACTTGTCTGTTCGGCTAAGCGAGCGAGTCTTTCTGGTCTGGGACGATTCTCCGAATTTGATAACAAATGCCAATTCTTGATCAATCGATAACCAATTCTTGAAGGTCCTTTGATCCAATCATAATATCGAATTCCGCTTTCCGACCGTTGGCAGGCTCTTTTTGTAAGACAACAGGGTAAGCTCATCCAAAGAGCCTGTCCCGGGGAAGGGATGCCCTTATGAAAAAGCAAAGGGCAGAGCTTCGAGTGACTTTTTTATTTATTCTTACTACTATCACTTTTTAAACTGGGCGAGTAGGAAATTGAATCCAAAAGCTGCCCAAAGGCTGTTCACTTTGCCGAGAGGGAAGCCAAGAGCTGGTGAGTTCTAACGTAACGTGGAGAACCGACTAATTCTTACTTCGTTCAGTCTATCTCCGGAATAGGAGAAAGCAGAGAAGAAAGAGGGATCTCTTCACTAAGCCGAGTTGACTTCACCCAACAAGAGCCAGGGCAGGTTATTAGCGGCCTGAGAAGCCTCAAGCGAGCGCCAGTTCGGTTCGAGTCTTCATCGATCGGGCGGATCTATATGCTTCGGAGGGTGAGACGAGGTGTAGCGCAGTCTGGTCAGCGCATCTGTTTTGGGTACAGAGGGCCATAGGTTCGAATGAGGAATCGGGAGGACTTCTACCTACGAACGTGTAGGATTTGACTGACGGAAGCGTCCTGGTTATTGGGTCAGCCGAAATGCGATCGATCGGCTCAACCGGATCAAGGACTGACGTCGAACCGAGCAAAGGCAGCAGCAAAATTGGAAAACGCATCGCGCCACACGCGCAGCCTCGGCAGACACACAACTTACACAGCACAGGCAGCATACAAGCAAGGTTTTTTCTCTTTTGCTGCGAACTCTTCTCCGTAAGCCCGGGATTATAGAATCCAATCTCGAACACTCGCTGGAGAGGATTCAAGCGGATAAAAGCCAAGACTTGCTCTTCGGGCTAAGATGCTGACTTTGCCGTGGAAAGAGTAGTGAGAGGGTAAATCCTCCCCATCCAGTCTTTTCAGGGGGTATTCATAATTGGACTATTTACATTCTTCTCTCTCCCACTCTTAAAGACCAGGTCTTTCATTGGCCTTGTACCGTTCTGCGGGTAATTATTTACCTAATATTCTCTTGAATCGACAAGCGAAAGATCAAATAAAAGATTCTAGATCAGGCAGACTGGCCCTGTAACGAAAGCCTGGAAGTTCCAAGAAAACAAGTACAAACCTATATAGATGAATAGGAAATTTCTTTTCTTGACCGCTTGCTATAATGTGTGGAAAAGTTGGCAAAAGCGCGGCGGCAAAGGGTCGTTTATCCATCCTTCTTCCTATTTCAGAGGCGTATTATACCTGGGCGAAAGGACAGCTTTAGCTTTATATGGCTTCGGCTGAGGGATTGATTTAGCAGATTGGGCAAGAAAGTACTGGTTTGACCTTGGGGGAGGTTACGATTTCACATCATGCATGGTAGGACTCCCCGGCTTCCTAATTAGACTTTTCTGACTCCTAGATCCCAAGCCCTTGTGGCTGATGTCATCCTTGCCACTTCTAAGGGGGCTTATATGCTTACGGGATTTTGCGTCGAGCAGATCTCAAAGCCAGGAGTTCGGTACAGCCCTTACTCGAACTAGTAGGACTAATTCCCGGGATGGGAAGTGGCATGAGGGGATTCCAAAAGAAGCGGATCTGATCCAGACATATGGATCTCTATTTCTCGACAAAAAAGAAAAGTACAAGCTAGGAGCCGTCGCATCATTGAGTTTTCTCCCATTCGATTTCCTTAGAAAACCTTAGAGCGCTTACGGAAGGAATTTTGGTAATTCTCTACTTCTTCACTCACACGGCTGTGTCTGCAATCAAAGTGCCAGTAAACAACTGTTCTTTCCAAGGAAAGAGAGAAAGAAGTCAAAAAGCGGCCAGGACCTGAAATGGTTAAATAAGGAGGCAAAAGGGGCGGGCTAAAACTATTGGACTCTTGCTTGGACTTCAAAAGGTAATAGTAAGTAAGATCAGAGAATTTACCAGAAAGGTTCTATCAATCCAACAATAGTGAAAAAAGAAAATAGAATGAGCTATCTTAGGATAGGGAGTTTTAAACAAGTTTCTTTTTCAGTAGATACCTGAATGCCGAGTATCGCTCGTAACAATCAATCGGCAGCGCAGTTTTCTACGCTACGAGGGTCGATGGAATTGAGAGTAGCAAAGGCTCAGGCGCTGTACCCCAAGGAAAAAAATTATGCATCGTGCGCATACCAGGAGCAGCTTCGAATAGGTCATTGACTGTGAACTGAGTCTTTACTTTGAAGATTATGACTTTGGGTTGTTGTATGAACTAATATTTGAATTGTGTTTTTTAGATTTAATGTCTAAATTTATGGTTTAAGACTATTTTAATTATTTATTTACTTGTATGGTTATATATATTATTATTTTTGGCATTTTAAGTGAACTGCTCGAATAGCTTACGCAATGCGCTACGCTATTTACGCTACGCAATATCAGGACCAAAACGTGACGCGATGCGCTATGCGCGTTTTAAAACACTGATTATATACGTTAGTAGCTGCACCTAATCTCTATGACTCTCTCTCTCTTTAATTTATAGTCTTTAATTATCCTACTGCAGCTACGCTTATCTGTTTTCCTTCAAATCTCAAAAAAAAAAAAAGGCCCAAATCTTGAGAATTCCTCTTCCTAAAACGGCAAACAACAGCGGTCCACCTCCTAATTCTTCTTGCTTCAAGGTTTTGACTTATCATCTTCCCCATATCTCTCTCATTCCAAAATTTTAATTGTTAATATTTTAGATTATAAATGGCCTTTTCAAACTTTGTTTTTCATGTCCACCTTCAAATTTCAATTGAATCTTTTCTTTATTTGGGGAAAATTTATTCAATTTAAACCCCTTGAGGCTTGAGCCACAGAGCCAGTCATTAGCAATTTAGGTTAGTTCCGGAATTCGGCCCTGTCGTGGACGAAAAATCTACTACCCGCTCGCCGCTTACCTCGTCGGCGCCCCCAGTTCGCCGTCCGCCACAACTGGGCCTACCGTCATCACTGTCGGCCACTTTCGGCTTTACTCGTAGCCTTCTCCTCCACCTTCGCCCAATTGCCCGAGGCCCGGACCAACGGCTACTCTGTTCGGAGTATTGTTGAAACGATGGTAAAACAATAAACAATAAAGTAGTTTAAATTTTGAAGCATAAACTTTAAATAGTTTGAGTGGTTGATTAATAATTAGTCGTTTCTTTTTCCGAACATTATTTGTTAATTAGTCGTTTCTTTAGATTTTAAAGCTTAGTGATTCTTGAGTAGTACTGAATGAAAAACAGTACTGATTTTGTGAATCCAAAAGAATTGTAAAAGATTGAAAAGGTCATTTAATGATTTAGTGATTTAGCATCAGTACTGATTTAGTGATTCCAAATGAATTGAAAAAGATTGAAAAGGCCATTTAATGATTTAATAATTTTATTTGTTTGCTTATAATTCTGTATGGTAAGAGTAAGACTATAGGATTTAGTTTATGTGTGGTAATGCTACTTAAGTTATATTGTTAACTGCCTGAGTGATAAACTGGTAATTCTATAGCGCAGTATGATAATTCTTTAGCTTTGTCGAGTTTGTATTATTCTATAAATTATGTTTTATTTTTATTGTAAAAAGGATGTTGAATATGTATTAGTTTATTTCTTACTAAAAAAGTACTTGAGGCATTATTTTTATTTTTGGCCCAGGGCCTAATAATTTACAGGACCGGCTCTGATTCCAGCAACACTTCTTGTATTCATGGTTGAATTGCAATTACCTCGACATAATCACTTCAATCCTATGTGAATCTACACGTAAACTCTTTTTTATGGTAATTATTAAATGATTTCCTTGTGCTTTTGTTTTTTATTGTTTTTTAAAAAAATAGATTTTGCATTCTTGGCATATAATGGTGAATCTTTTATCTTCATCTATGAACCATCACAATTCAGAGAAAAGCTTCTTCAATTCTGGGATATCATGATGTATTTGGGTGCTGATTATTCACTTAAAATTTCTCGATGAAGTATTCTGGTGCTTAAAACCTGTTCGCCGCCGAGCATTGGTTAGCTTTTTTACACCCTCCTAATTAAATGCACACACCTCCTTCCTTTCTTTAACTTTCATTGTGAATTTGAACACCCTTTTTATCCAAGTACACAACCCCTCTTTATATTTCTCATATTTTCTTGGGCCCAGATAAGTATATATTGGTCAGCTAATAGTAAAGTTTGAATCTTGTAATAAAAATGGTTCTTGCTGAATTTCTTATTTCCCTTTATCTTTTTAGAGGGGTAAAAATTGAATCTTTGTGTTCGTTGATAAAGGAAAAAGAATGGATGGTTGGGGCTGTGTCTGTTGTGGGTTCTGCTTTTATCGATTCAAAGACTTTCCCATGCCTGTGTTTTGATGCTCTGCCTTCTTGCGAACTGACGGTGGGCATTGCCCATGCCTGTGTTTTGATGCTCTGCCTTCTTGCAAACTGATGGTGGGCATTTAGTATTGCAGAGGCATATGATTGGCACAAAGCACTTGCCTTGTTTGGGGTCGTTAGATGTGAGAAACTCATTTCTTGATTATGCCTCAGTTAAAGCTCTTGCAGGTTCAAAGATTTCTCCACCACTCTATGCCCATGCACCACTCCCACACCCACTCCACCCACAACCATAAAGGCAAGCCTTGCCCACCGCCGTAAAACCGCGCCGCTCCGTCTATTCCATCGGAAACTCTCCTCCACGAAGAAACTCAAGACATGTACGCCGCGAAATCCCACCTCCACCGCCTCCAATTTAATGTCTGCAGCTGCCGGAGGCTCTTCTCTTCGCAGTCGCAGACCCCTCTCGAGTCCGCCGGCCCCATGGCATGCCTTCTCAAGACCCGATCCGTGATCCGCTTCAGGGGACCCGAGACCATCAAGTTCCTCCAGGGTCTTGTGACAAACGACGTGAGGAGTCTAGACAACCCGGAAACCGATGTCGAGAGGAGCAAGACGCCCAACTTGCCGGGGATTGTGGTTCCTCCGGTGTACGCCGCAATGTTGACTCCACAGGGGAGGTTTCTATACGATTTCTTTCTGTACAGGCCGCCCCGTTTGGATGAGAAGCTGGATCGGACGGGTTCTGGGCCGGGGCCCGACTCGGATGAGCTCGAGATTTTCGCTGACGTTGATGGGTCTGTCATGGATGAGCTCTTGGCAACTCTGAAAAGGTGAAAACTTCATTAAAGTTTTTGTTTTAAATTGAAACCATTGAAACTTGAAGATGATTTGAATTGTTCGTTCTACTTGAAGGTTGTGTGATTTGGGGGCATTGAACTTATAAAATTCATAAGGCTAGATAAAATAGATCCATTTTGAAGCAGTGAAATGAAGTACTCGTATATTCTGTGTAAAAGTTATAAATGAATGCTAAACAACTGGAATTTGATGCTTGTAGATATTCTAAATCGTTGTTGTATGAATTTTTTGTTTTTATTGCTGTGGTGCAAATCCTAGTTTTGGTATATTTGAAGAAGAGTTTAGCCACGACCGTTTTTAAGTCATACATGAGGCTTCTTGCTAATAGGTTTACCCTGCTTGTGTGCCTACCTTACACCGAAACTGAAATCATGGGCTTATGAATGGTTTTGGACAAATTGGTCTGGTAAATCTCTTTGTCAAGCCTAAGGGCATTTTTCTTTAAGGTAGAAATACAATTTTTGCATGGCATGCTTAAAAATTATTGTTGTAAAAATCGCTAGGCACAGGAGTTATATAGTGCTAGGTGGGATATAATCAGATAAAAATGTAGGCGATATATAATCGGAGCTAGATGAAACCTTTTACAACAATGGTTCTAGTTACTCATCTTTATAGAAGAGGTAAAAAACTTTGTCTTTTCACTGTGTAATGTTCCGGCAAATGTGTTGAGCCATTTATCTAGATAAGATATTCATTGTGGATTTCTTCTATGAAAGTTTTCGTCTTACTCCACATGAGTAAAACTTTGGCAAAGTCCCTTTCGGTGATTACATGATATATCATTTTTGTGTCTTCAAATTGTATATTGGCAGATACCGTTTGAGATCTAAGGTTGAGATTGAGAATGTGGCACAAGATTTCTCTTGCTGGCAAAGGTTTGGTAGGAACATAGCAAGTGAGTCTTCATCATTGGAAGACTCTGAAGCAAATTCTGTTGGCTATGGTGGTACTGTTGATGGTCCTGGTATATCATCTTCACAAGGAAATAATCTTGGTTGGCAATGGAATAAGGACCCACGGTTGGCTTGTCTTGGATTTCGAGGCATCTTTCCATCCAATGATACACGTAAGTTTAGTTAACCATCTTACATACTTAAGTCTGGGCTCCAGTTTTTATCTTATTTATTATTATTATTGTAATTATTTTCATTACTTAATTCTTTTACCTTTTTGTACATCATGTATCGCAATAGAGGTTTCGTAACTGCACATTCACATTACTAATTTTTTGTTCACATTTGTCTGGTGACATGGTTAATAAATGAATGGTTGCTTTCTTGCATTTGATTTTGAATTTACCCAGTCAATTACAATATGCTGCCGATTGTGTTCTGATATATGTCTATCTAGTGCAGCTCCACTCGTTGAGGTGGATAAAGAAACTGATGAAGGAAATTATCTTCTCTTGAGATTAGAGAAGGGAGTTGCTGAAGGCTCAGCTGAGATCCCAAAAGGTTAGTATCTTTGATAATTGCATATTTGGATATCAGTCTCAGTAGTTCACATGTTAAATAACCCTCATGTGCGAACATCTCACAATCATTTTCTACGAGCTGAAGGCTGCAGAATTAATTTATTTCTCATTATTTACTTAACATATGTTACTTCCATATTGTCCGGATTGGAACCAATATGTATGAAAAAAAATAAAATAAAAAATCCAGTTCAAGTCAAGAACATTGAAGATTTGACTACCTATCCTGCTTGCTTGATGAATTAACGAGTGATTGAGCTCCGGAAGATTTATACTCAAGATTTACTCTTTTAATAGGCTGCTCAATGCTGACGATTGTGACCTATAAATATAAATGTGTCGTTTTTATGCAGGTGAGGCGATACCCCTAGAGTACAATCTTGCTGGTCTCAATGCTATTAGCTTTGATAAAGGATGTTACATTGGCCAAGAACTCATTGCTCGTACACATCACCGTGGAGTAATACGAAAACGACTAATCCCTTTGAGATTTTTGGATGATAGTGGAAAAGGTACAAACCCTCCTATTCTGATTTACTTTGTGACATTTTTCTGGGTGTATTAGTATAATATGACATTTTTGTCTGATCTAATTTAGAGATTGAACAAAAAGTATCACCTGGTTCTGAAGTGATTGATACGGCCTCCCAAAAGAAAGCTGGGACGGTCACAACTGCACTTGGATCTCGTGGTTTGGGCCTTCTCCGCTTGGATGAGGCTTTCAAAGGATTGGGCTCGTTAATCGTAAAAGGTCAGGAAGATATCAAAGTAGAGACCATGAGGCCAAAATGGTGGCCTCCTGAGTGGGTGTAAACTGCTTAGCTTATGTATGACTCTATTACCCTCTTTTTACACCTCAGAATAATGGAGCTTCTGAACATGAACAAAAAGCTTGATTTTGGTATTAATAAACTTTTTCCCCTTCTGATCGTGCAATTTTTACATATTATGCGGTAGATTTTGTTTTGACTATGTGCATGTGAATGAAAATAGTTGCATGTCGCGAAGCTTTATGCCCGTAAATCATATTTGTGGATTCCGAGTGGACATTTTTTGTGCGTGTTGAAAATTGAGATCAAACTACACAGAAACTGTAGCTTTTTCCTTAGGATGCTCGAAAATTCATATAAATTCACAAAAAATATCTAATTGCACTTTGTAAGTGGACCTGAAATACGAATTCCAGTAAACATTTTGCTAGTTCAATGTTCATTCCCATCTTCATAAGTCCTGTCCATCCCTGCATCTCTCACTAATTTACATGCTCCGGCCAAACACCATTAAATCTCGCATTCTAGTTCTTGGTCATATCTTTAAGTTAAGATTGTAGGGATTGAATATTTTCAATGTATGCGCAATACAATCATCGTCTAGCCACTCTTCATACCGCTTTTCAGCTCCTGCACTACCGACACCATGCTCGGCCTACTCTTTGGATTCTCATTCGTGCAGTCCAAGGCAATCCTCGTCAGCAGTTGCGCCTCGATTTCCATAAACTCACCTTTGAGCTTTGGGTCGATAAACTCCTCCAGTTTCCCGGCCTCAGCCGCTGCCCGTGTGGGCCCCGGGAGCATCGTCTTGCCACACAATAACTGGAAAATTATGACTCCATACGCATACACGTCACTCTTTTCCGTGAACCGGCCTGTAGTGATGTACTCGGGGGCCATGTAGCCTAATGCCGCACTCACTTTGAGGGCCGAGTAGACAACATCATCTGCAAGAAGCCCGTGAAGGCCCGCATCAAGAATCAACGGGCTCATGTTTCGGTCGAGTCGCGACCGAGAGGTTTGGTGGATGATCGGTGGCTTGTTCGTCTCGTTGCTGTGTAGATACAGCACACCTGGTTTTAGAAACACCAAAATTAAATCATAGATGCAATTTTTGGATTTAACCATATCTACTAGCTTGATGGTTGAAAGCATATTTTGCTTCAATGGGCCAAGCAAATGTCAGATCATAAATGAAGCATTTAATGGCAACTTGTCTATGGCATTTGGTGAAGAAGCTATAGTAATTGCTTTGTCTGAAGCTCATGCATGAATGCATGTGCCATTCTCTCAAAAAAAGTGGTTGTGCTGCATACATCAACTCAATTGTAGGACAGTGGACTTTTTAGGGGCTAAATAATTGCTTCAGACAAGAAGTTTGGTCTTAGGAAAGACTTCAAATGATAGGACATCATAACACAACTCTGAAAATCACCTTTATGAACTCACAAATAGCCCAAACTAAGTGGTGAAACAATTTAACTTACTTTATATTCAACTTAAATGCCAGAAACTGGTAAGCTGTAGCTACAAACAAAAAGAAATGTTTGCAGACTGTTAAAACTCAAAAACACACATTTGTGCACAAGATTAGAGATCAAAACAAACACCAACCTTTAGCAATGCCATGGATGATAGAAACCCTAGTCTTCCAATCAAGCACAACAACCTCATCTCGGTCGAGATAGCTCGACAAATTACCTCCAGGGGCAAAATTGTAAATCAAGAAGCACTCCCCTCGAGCCTTGGACCGACATAACCCTTTGAGCTCCACCAAATTCTCGTGCTCGAGCGAATTCAGCAAGCCGAGCCCTCTCAAGAACTCTTCCTCCTCCGACTTGCAACTCGTCTTCCCAATACACTTAACAGCCACAATCGACCCACCCTTCAGAACCCCCTTATAGACTCGACAGAATTTACTCTTCCCTAAAAGGTTCGCCTCCGAGAAGTGCTGCGTGGCCGACTCGACCTCCTCGAGGTTGAACGAGTCTCTTCTGTGTGGGCCCCACATGCTCGGGCAGCGATCAAGTGAAGATGGGCCCACGCTACTGAGCTGGTCCCCATTGGACGTGTCGGATTTGTCCCCGACCTTCTGTTTCCGGCGGCGGTGCCAGAAAAAAGCGACGGCAGCGGCCACCGCCAGCCCGAACGAGGTGGCGATCAGGCCCGAGATGAGCCCGATCTTGGGAAGCTTTGATGGGGTCTCCGAACAGATGGTCTCGTTGCAGGCTATGGCGAAGGCAGCCGATTGAGGATTGGGATTGCCCGTGTGGCCGGATGGGAAGGAGTTCAGGTTGAGGTCGAGGTTGCTGTCGAGCTAGTTGCAGGCTCTGAGCCCGGGGAAGCCGGGCCCACATAAGCCAGAGTTGTTTTCGAACTGGAAATCGATATTTCTTCTCTTCAGGCCTTCAGAATTGAGCAAAAGTCGATAACTTTAACGACGATAACCTTACTACTTTTTTTTGGGGGGGGAGGGGGGGGGAAGATTGTAAAAGAAGATGGGTGGCTAACCAGGAGGGATGAGTCCAGAAAGTTTGTTGTTTTTGACATCAAGGAGTTCAAGTGAGGTGTTATTGGCCAGTGTGTAAGGAATTTGGCCTGAGAGTTGATTGGAGCCGAAGTGCAAGCTTTTCAAGGACCTCAAATTTCCTAAGTCTGAAGGGATATGCCCTGTTAGCCTATTGCTTTCCAATGCAAGAAAGTTCAGGTTTTTTAAGGATCTCATTTGTGTAGGCATGTTCCCTGTCAATTGGTTGTAACTCAGCTGCAGTACTGCAAAAAGTTCAAGAAATGAAATGAAAATTTGAAACTGGCTACAGATTGTGATAGTTTCAATTTCTGAACTAGTGAAAACTGAATTTCTGTAGCTCACGAAAAATATACTATAGAGAGAGACCTTGAAGACTAGCCATTTTTCCAATCTCAGGTGGTATAGCACCAGTCAAGTTATTGAAATTGAGATAAAGATCGGTTAACTCTGTCAGATTCGAAATCTCCACCGGAATCTCTCCCTGAAGAGAATTGTAATGCAAGTAAAGGCCCGACAGGCACTTGAGCTCAGCCACTGCCGGAGTCAACTTTTCGGCGAGCCCCTTCCCCTGCAGAGAGATGTTGACCAGTTTCCGGTGCTCGTTGCAAGCAACCCCAACAAACGAGCCGCTGCACGGCTCGCCGGAAGCGGCCCACGAGGACAGGCACTTGTTCGCCGGATCCAAAGATGACTTGATCTCCATTAATGCCCTCAGCTCTGTATTTCCGGCCGCCGGAGTTGTGAAATAGTTGCTGCAGCATGTTAGGCCGGCAAGAATTAGGAGAGTAAACAGGGGATTTGGGCCATTTGGTGACCCCTGCATTTTCTTTTTTCCTTTTTTTTTCTTGGGATTTTTATGTTTTTGTTTAGGAAGTAATTTCAAGAATCAAAAGACATGATTTTTAACTTAAAGGCAGAGCCTTTTTTCTAGTGGGAACTTTTTGGATATGGAGTTTGTTTGAGCTGTAATGCTTGGATGGTGTTTTATTTGGAGGACGAGCAAAAGAGATTAGCTAGTGTGTGTGTTCACTGTTCAGTGTGAAAAGGTTGTAGCTGTGTTGGACTTTGGAGGGTATAAAAACATGCATGCACATATTTTTATGGGGTGTTTTTTTTTTTTTTTTTTNGGGTGTTTTTTTTTTCCTTTTGTTTTTAAATAATTTGGTGTAATTTGCACCATAATAATTGATATTTGGGGATGTATAAAAGTATGGGTGATAATGATTGGTACTATACGAAACACCAACATGATAAGATGTATGATGATAGAGACGATTTTGTACGAAATGGCGCCATTTCGTACAAAATAATTTATTTCATAATTTATTATCGTGTTATCGTCAAATCATACTATTTTATTATCGTGAGTATAATAATGAATCCAAATTTAACTAAATAATTTATTTCATAATTTTCTTGGGAATCGTGATAATAAAGTCTTAGTTACATTTTATGTTATGATTTTTTGTGAAATAGTCATCCAAAAGGCTATTTTCATGGAAAATGACGATTTCCGACTTCGCCGAGTCTATCGCCAGCTTAAGTTGTTTTTATCTGTCTAATTTCAAAATTAAATCTTAAAATTATCCTTCAGAACTTGTCACTTGCATGTTTAGATTTTTTTTTTTAATAATTATTGGGGATTAGTGAGTAAAAGTCTTATAAGTACGATTGGAAGTAAAAACAAAAATGATTTTGTTTTGCAAGATATTTTGTAAGGAATTACGATTGGGTGCAAGTTTTCAATTTAAAATTCAGCCAAATTCTTTTTTTAATAATTATTGGGGATTAGTAGTGAATAAAAGTCTTAAGTGCGATTGGAAGTAAAACAAAAATGATTTTGTTTTGCAAGATATTTTTTAAGGAATTATTATTGGATGCAAATTTTCAACTTAAAATTCAGTAAAATTCACCAAATTAATTCATATCGTTATTATTAATATAATTAAATAGCATCAATCAAATGAATATTTTTCAACAAAATTCAATTTGTCGATTCACATATTTTTAACTATTAATTATTTACAATCATTATATTATTAATTTTATATTACATCAACTTTAATAATTACATTTTAACTCAATTAACAAACTCAAAATTAAATATAAATTTTCATCGATTTTTTTTTGTCTTTAAATTTTAACCCATTTTATTTAAGAAATTAAATTCAATCCAAAAATATCATTTTCAATCCCACTTAATTTAATAGGTACATAGTTCCAGCTCTTAAAAATTGTGGGACTTGGATTTTGTCGTTCCAACTGAAAATGTCAAATTTGAAGACTAACAATATTACTAACTTTGGATCAAAATATCATGTATTACTTTACGTCACTATACAGTATACATCTTATTCTTATCTTAATATAGATTGATAAACGATTTAAAGAGAACCTTTATTCTTTGAAGATAAAGCATACATATATAATTTTATTTTCCAGTAACCTCATTCGCATTTTATTGGATTTTTTTATATTTTAAAATGCACAATACGTAGTCATGCATACATAAATTATATCATCAAAATAAATAGCAATGTCACTAGTTACACTTGTCCAAATTCCATACTGGTTTTGACTTGTTCTATTCTTATCTTACTGTAAATTCGAGCACGCATTCAGTGTGACAAACTTGGATTGTTCAAACCAACTCTACGTGGTATTTGATTTTATGTAGGCTTGTCCCAAATTTGGACTTAATGTTATTAATGACGTTTTTTCATTAAATATATTAAGCAAAAACTAACTAACATCACAAGACTTTTGAGAGATACTCTAACTATATCGACCTGTCATAATATGTAAATAAAAATGTTTATTTATATTATGGAATGTTCTATTGCTATTTATATTGTTTTTAAAAGTATAATATCTTCAAATGAAAGTATGAAGATGTGCTAAAAAAATTATATTGACCTAATTGTTAGGCTAACCTGACAAAGACCGATCAAACGAACAATATATATATGGATTTATTTTTATCGACGTTTGAGTATAGTTTCATATGAAATGTCATAGTGACTATATGAACAATATTATCAATACAGTTTTTATTCAAAATTGCATAATCGGTCGTGTTTAAGCATCTTCAATGTGGCTTTTGACATTGTAAAAAATCTTTCATATCATCTACTCTTGAAAGTGTGTTATTAATTTATTCTCTAATGTATCTTGTTATGAACTCTTTAATGATGAAGTAGATGAAATTTAAAACTGACAAATGTTGAGTTCACTTTCTAATATCTAACATCATGTTAAAACTTAAACATAATGACTCATCAATCCAATTTATATTTTTGTTTAAATTTTTTATTCTTCTTGTATCAATGAATTATTTTAATTGATCCACATATACAAATTAATAAATTATTGTCAAATTGATGAATTGGAGATAATAGTTTGGTTCACATTTTTGGACTTTTAGCAGTATTCTCGTATGAATTAAAAAACTAAGAACACCAGATCCAGTTTGCCTTCCTCCAGCAGGGGCCTCCGGGCCATCGGGGCGGTGGCTTCTCTGGCCGTGCGGCCGGCGTTCGAAGGCTCGTTGGATGGGCGGCTTCCTCTTCCCGGGTGAGTCGGCGGGTCAGCCCATTTTGAATCTCGCCTCTTTATCGGCCGCCACGATGGGTTCTGACCGGCGGCTTCTCGGAGTATGAGCAGCGGTGCTTTTCCGGTAAGCTTTAGACCATGGGCTGCGGTTCCGATCATCAATTTGGTAACAAGGGGTGGTCGGGCTGAGATTGGGCCGTTTCGCTTTCCTTCCTTCTCCGATTTTCTCTGCTTTTGTGCTTGCTGGTTTCATTGGCGGAGTTAAGTTGGGGCTGGGTCTTGTGTCCCAGTCTCGGATCTTCGGGGTTGTGATGGTGGAGCTTGTTTATTGACCTCCGGGCTCGGGTGTTGTGGTTGTCCACTCGGGAGGGCCATGGTTTTTCAATCTCTAGTTAGGCGAACGAGGTTCTGCAGTTTCTAGCTTGCGACTTGGACCGAGTCTTGTCCGTGTGGGTGGTCGCCGTCTAGTTGTGTTCGGTTGGTTTCGGCTGCTGGCTGGAAGGACTTTATTTTTGTTATGTGTCTTTTATTTTTTGTGTTATGTTGTTTTGTATGTGTTGTTTTGTAGTTTGTGCTTTGTTAGTGTCTGTTTGTCTGTTTTGTTTGTGTGATGTGTTTTTGGTTTGGGCTCTTCGCCTCTGTGCACCTAAGTGTCAATCTGTGCGCCCGAGTGTCACTTTATTACCATGTTGGGGTCGGACACTCGGGTATTACCCTGTTGGGGTCCGACAGTTAGGTATTACTCTGTTGGAGTCTTGTAGTTGTATTAGTTGTTTGTTTTATTTGTTAGTTTTTTTCTAGCGATTGCTNCATTATATTCAAAATCCATCATTTCTGCTGGAGGAAAAGCACTTGAAAAATTGAATTTGACTTTCCCCACCGGAAAAACCAAAGCAAATGTAAATTATAGGATCAAGAACTGGTGTTGATATGTTCTTTCTTTATTACATATTCAAGGCTTACGATTCATGAACACCGTTGCAAAAATCCATAATTTATGCTACCCATATTTATAGGGCACTGACTGCAATGCCTTATCTCCCAAAAATAATAATAATAATAATAATAATAATAATAATAATAATAATAATAATAAAAAGAAAAGATGTAACATTTGCCTATTGTTGTAGTCAAATAATAAACCTTTATATAATTAAAGAATATATAGTTGTCCTTGTCCATAAAGATCATACATATGCCCTATGCTGCTTCCGGACCAAAGGATCTCAAGTTACACGCTTCAAATCTGTAATAATTGTATTTGAAATTATTTCTAAAAATTTCATCTAATTTAAAATTTTCAAACCAAATGTAACCTTAGTACCCTACAAAGATTACCTCCTCCATGATATTATATTTGGTTAACAAATATCTCCATTTGAGGATTGCAGTTTTACAAAGTAGAGTACATCAATATGGTATCCAAAATCTGAAGAGAATAATTTAATTACCAATTCATTTAGGAACAGTGATTGCATTGCAACTTATAAAGGATTTGGAAACATAGAATAAAACAAAATAATTTAAAATTTAATTAGTCTGTTTTCTCAAACTAAAACCCTAGACAGTTTATCAGTTCTTGTAGCAGCACATCTAAGTGAGAGTGCCAATTTGGCCAAGAACACAAACCAGTTTTCCCCCATCACAAACAAAAATTCGACTCTCGAATATACCCTTCACAATCACAAACATGATCTGCCAAGCAAAATATATACATGTACACAAAGTATCCCCTGAACCAGAAGAACAATTAACTTCACTTAGCTACATAAATAACAAGAATAAGAATGCATAGGTTTATAGCTCATCTACAAGAAAAAGAACAAGCAAGCAATTCTAAATTCAATCTATTCAATGAAAAGATGAAACATCATAACAATAGCTGAAAAGCACAAATCACCCAAAAGACTCTTCTTCCACAACGAAATTCCATAAACGGACATGATTTTATCGAAAATGTACCGCGTCTACCTACAACGACAAGCATCCAAAAGAACCAAAACACGCCTAATCAATCGAACACAAACTTATTCACCAAATCACCACACATTGTTCATTGAAACACCGAGCATCTTAGCAAACGCAGGCATACATAGACTCACACAAATAGAAATCAACAGCTAATACCAAGTAAGCGAGAACATGGTAAACTACACGAAACGAAACAAACTAAAAGCTAATAAAACTTTCTTTTTTTTTTTCCAAATTTCACCACGCGCTCTTCTTCTTTGCACGATAATACCCGAGATACCACTCGACAAACTTCTTCAAACCCGTCTCAAGATCAGTCGTGGGCTTATACCCGAGCTCCTTCATAGCCAAACTAATGTTCGCGTGCGTGAAAAGAACATCCCCATTCCTCGGCATAGTCAGCACCCTCTTTTTCGCCTTGACTTTCAAAAGCTTCTCTAAAATGCTCACGAGCTTCCCAACTGGGACCGGGCTCGTATTCCCCAAATTATATATCCTCAATTGGGCCGGGCCCATTTTCTTACCTCCACTCCCCGTGCTCTTCTTCGCCGTATCAAGAGCAGCCAAACAGCCCCTAACCACGTCATCAATGTATGTGAAGTCACGGGCCACGGTGGCATGATCTGCCCCTTCAAACACCTTGATCTCCTTCCCCCTGAGGATATCTTTGGTGAAGAAGTAGTAGGCCATATCGGGCCTGCCCCATGGGCCGTAAACCGTGAAGAAGCGAAGCCCGGTGATGGAAAGCCCATATATGTGGTTATAAGTGTGGGCTATTTCCTCGCCGGCCTTTTTGGTGGCGGCGTACAGGCTGGCGGGTTGGTCCGTACGGTCCTTCTCCGAGAAGGGGACTTTGGAATTGAGCCCGTAGACCGAGCTGGACGAGGCCCAGACGATACTGGGCTGTGAGTCTGCGTTCTTGCAGGCCTCGAGCAGGCTGACGAAACCGTTAACGTTGCTGTGGATGTAAGAGCCCGGGTTTTGCATCGCGTACCGGACGCCGGCCTGGGCCGCCAGGTGCATCACGTGCGTGAAGTGCACGACCTCGAAGAGCTTGCCCAGCAATTCGCCGTCGTTCAGGTCGGCCTCCACGATATACACGCCCTGGCGGTCGAGGAGGCTCTTTCGGGCTTTTTTCAGCCCGGATTCGTAGTAGGTGTTGAAGTTGTCGAGGCCCACCACGCCGTCACCGCGCTGCTTGAGGGCGGCGGCGACGTGGGTTCCCACGAAGCCGGCGGCGCCGGTGACGAGGACGATGAAGCCGGAGCTAGAGCGAGGACGGGCCGAGTTTCGGGCTCGGACCTCCCAGTTCGGGCCGGGGCGTGCCCGCTCGGGATGGACGGAGGTTTTGAGGCTGCGGCGTTTGCCGGCGGGGGAGGCGGTGGGAGGGGAGCGGAGGAGGAAAATGAGAAGGAAAAAGAGGAAGAGGAAGGACCAGAGAGTGAGGCGCGGGTGGAAGCGGAGGCGGTGTAGGGCGTAGGAGGACGATTTGATCTTCCCGGTGGAAGACGGGATTATGGGGTCTAAATGAGAGAGTATGGGCTTCAACTGAGTCATCGGAAATTTGATCGGAAAACACCAAGATTCGATTTTTATTTATTTTTTCTTTTCGAATTTTGGGTGAAAAGTACGAGGTGGGGTTTTAACCGTTTAGAGGAGTTTCTGCAATTTTTCTTTTTTCTCTTGTTTGCTGCTCAATAAAGCAGAATTTACAGTGTGGGGACGTTTTTGGATTTATGGGGAATTTTGGCAAAGAGAAAGGGATTTTTTTGCTTGTTTATAGAGCAACGGTGGGGATGTGCTGGCGCCTAGTGGGAAACCAAATGGTGACGTTTATTTATTTTAGGACAAAGTCTTCATGATTGAATTTTGAAAAATTATTACTGTATTAGTAAATAATTAAATATTACTTATTGTTGTTACTGTAATATTATTAAGGAAATCAGTAATCATCCTTGCGTTATTTACTTATTTTTCCAAATATTCTGTTATAGAGTTTTGGTAGCACAGTCAGTGNTTTATATCATCACAAAAAATTGTGTCAGGTGGATATCGTTAGGTGCATCTGCACGTCATATTGTTTTAATAAAAATCATACTGATATTATGAAATATTATACCTTTATTTATATTATTTTTTAAATTATAATTTTCCAATTTAAAATTATAAAATATCTTTAAAACTGTATAATTGCCATTCCTAGTAGCAGCCAAAGGTAAAAGTAAAACCACCCCTTGTAAGAATTTGGGTTCAATTTAACATAATTTACCTATGCCGTAGAGGTAATTTCCCATTATACTTTACAGTGGTAAAAAGTTAGGCCATCTTCATAGAGGGTAAAATAAGTTATAATGGCAAAAGTCAAAATTCAAATCTTTGTGATCTACTTTGCTTTGTGATAAAGTTCAAATGGTAAAAAAAAATCACAAGATGCAAAGTAGAAATAGATTTTCCTTTGGAAATTGTAAATATGAACTATGGGTGGTAAATACTGACTCATATTTCCCAATAAAAATTGTAATAAATATATAAAAGGCTGAACATGGGAAAGAATCCCTGGAATTACTTCAAAAAAATCTGTCAACCAAATCTTCAGGTATATAACTGAAATCAGTGTGAGAGCGATGCCAGTGCAAGAAGAATATGCCATTAATTTTTTATGATAGTGGCTTCAAAGCGGGATAAGAAGGTCAAATTGATGGTTTTATTACTGGTACAATTAATTTATACCTGCAATCATAGTATGGTTCAATTTGACTTACTATTACTTATTAGATTCAAATATGCATTTAATTTAATTGCTTCGAAGAACAATAGCTGAGGAAATATATTTCGTTTTTGAAAAATGCAATTATTTACTGAATGGTAATCAGCGGTTTTGCTATGAAGCCAACAGTTGGCTCCATAGTGGATCCAACCTTCCATAGTTGGCTTCAGAGAAAAACCGTGGTACTCAAATTTTCGTCTTAGGGTGAGTAATTGCATTTATTAATAAAGTTATTTTATATGTTTAAACATTTTTTTTTATTTTTTTTTAAAAAATAAAACATACGAAATGCAACAATACATAAACTAGTCATAAACTACAAAATAATGCAATTGAAATTCAGTGATAAAAATAAATTGAAAAAATAAATCCTATAAACTGTAAAAGTTAGTATATAGTTGTGGGGCCCGCCGCCACATGTGCGTCCACGTCACTTAGTCCTGTCCCAATATCTGGATGTAAACAACAGATATTGAGGGATAATTTACCTTATCAATATTATCAGCCGAAATAAACGACGCCTTATAGTTAGATAAATACTTCAGAGATTATAATAATAATAAAAGAAAAACAAGATTTGAAAGTAAATTGCGTAGAATTCTCTAAAGATAATAATGTTTGGACATGGACTCTATGAGCATGTGGCCATCACTTCATAGAACAGGATCCACTATGTAAATGGAATCTACAAACCTTAAAAGGCCCAAATACTTTATGCCCATATCCAATTTAGTCACTGAGCTCCACCATTTAGCCCATATGAAACATTTTCATTTTACCTTCACAGAAAAATAACTCAAAGAGAAAAAATAGTTTTTACAATGGGGATTATCATTTTAATTTTGTTAAATATTCAATTTTTTATTTTTCTTTTCGAATTTATTTCTTTATATATATATATATATATATTAGTTTTTATATTCGGTAGAAATTTATTATTTATGGTTTCATTTTATTATTAGTTTCTTTCTCTTAATAGGTTTCTACTAGGAAAGGAAGGGATAGAAAGGAAAAAAAAATTGGTAAAAAAAAAATAGAGGAAAAAGATTTCGATCACCCCTTGTGGTTCTCAATTCATATTTCAAAATTAAAATCTGTCATCTTTTCGGATCCAATCAGTCATAACGTCACATCGACGTCATCACTCCATAAATCGCGCTGGTCTCGTGCAACACACCCATTAAATGCCTCATCAATGCTAACCGTTCGATTCGCCTGTAATTCGACGGTTAAAGTCTTTATGTCCTTTCAACTAGCCGACTCCATCTCAGTCGTTGATATCGACCGTGATCCAATGGCTCCCTGCGACATGCCCTTTCAGTTTCGCACCTTCAGATCTCAACCCTTCTTCCAACCGACAATAATCTGCGAAGCCACGAACCCAACACTCGAAGACGAACGCCCCCACAGATAGGAACTCAACCCAAATACAACTCCAATGACTCCAGAGATGGCTAACTCAGTTAACTGAAACCACACCAGACGACAAAATTCTTCACCTAAGTGGACCGGAGGCCAGCACTTCCTCTCTCCACACCAACCAAGGATTGTGTTCACCCAACAGCCCACACACAACCAACAGCCAAGGCCGTAGCCCGCAGCTCGAACCTGACCCGACTTCCAAGCACCATGGTAGAAGGGAAAAGAGGGAAGACGAGAACCTTACCTCAGCGCCTACCAACTCCATGGAGACGGTTGGAGCTAGCCGCTCGACCACCTCTCGGCACCCGCCTAAAACTCGCGTGATCTTGCATGCTTGTTGGATTTATTGATGTCATGGCAAAAAAAGATTCAAACTTGTATGATATTACTTGTTGGATTTATTGCAATTACCCAATATGTTCACTTGCTAGAACCATAAGGATATTGACACAAAATTTGTACAAGGTTTGTCATTGTGCCCTGTGGAATGCCAGAAGACTGCCTCTTAGGAAACTGCAATTAGAACATTTGATCAAAGAAAAGCATAATATGCTCAAACACAAATTGGGCAAAACTTCAAATTTAAAGATANACCTCCGCAACACATATAACTCAGCAAGAAAGCTCAACATTTACCCAACTCTTATGAAGTTAACTCATATTCGACACCCATACCCTTCGGCGGTCACATTCCAAACAATAGAAACTGTACAAATATAACGAAACCATCAACTTCCGCTACAAATGAAAAATATCGAATCACCAAAAGTCACGACAAGAGCACGTGCCATCCTTGAAACTATGAAACCTATTCGCATCTCTTACAACTATCTCACGACCCACAATGCTGCTGATAAACTTCAACACCGTGTGGCAATCCCCACAAACACGCAGGTTCTTGATCACACGTATGCATGACCCGGGACTCGACTTTAGAAGCCCATATGCCACGGCCAGCCTCTCGCTATGCCAAAACAGCTGCCTTTCCTTTTCCTGTTGCTCCATGTCATGCAACACAAAAGAAGTATCGGGCAAATACCCTCTTCTCCTCATCTCTTCATCCAATTCCTTCAGACACTCAAAAATCTCATCTTTCACATCGGCATGCAAACTCTCCCCTGCATAGAAAACCTCGTTTTCCTTCCCCAAGTCAACACAGCTGTAACCCGGTTCCTTTCTCAGCTCCAAATTCGCCATCAGTTTTCTCACAGCCGACACTCTCTCCCACATGGCTGCACGAGCGTACACATTCGACATCAGAATGCACGTTGACGGGTCTTCCGGGCCCACCTGAAGAAGATGATTAGCGATCCGAACACCTGTTTCGGTTTTACCCTTCTGAGCACAAGCGCTGAGTAAAGTGGCCCACACGGCCTCATCTGGCTCGAACGGCATCGAGTTAAGCACGTGCTCTGCTTTTTCCAGGTGGCCCGAACGGCTGTACAGATCCACCAAGCACGTGTAGTGCTGAAGGGAGGGTTTTATCCCGAAATCATCGACCATCGAGTTAAAAAGCTGTAAGCCTCTTTCAACCAGGCCTGCATGACTGCAAGCGTAGATCAACCCAGTAAAAGTTACTTCGTTTGGTTTCAAGCCAGTAATAATCATTTCATCGTAAAAAGAGAGTGCCTCGTCAGCCCTGCCGTGCTGGGCAAACCCGACTATAATTGAAGTCCAAGAGATGATATCTCTCGTTAATTTCATGTTTTTAAATATTTTCTCCGCAGATAATATGTCGCTGCATTTGGCGTACATGTCGATCAACGCATTGTTTAGGTACGCATTCGACTCGTACCCAAGGCATATGACCAGCCTGTGAACTTGTTTCCCGAGCGCCAGCATGGCCAAACTAGCCGAACCGACTATCAAGCTGGAGAAAATGAAAGGTTCATGATTACCACCAACTCCTTCTCTCCTCATTTCATTGAAAATCTTAAATGCCTCGATACTGTGCCCACCCTGAACAAAGCCCGAGATCAGGGCCGTCCAAGAATGCAAATTTTTACAAGGCATTTTGTGTAAGACTTCAAAAGCTTCACTTTTCCTTCCTATTCGAGCATACCCGTACATCAAGCTAGTCCAAGAGACCACATTTTTCGAAACAATCGAGCTAAATACCTTATTAGCCTCACCCGGTAGCCCGCATTTCGCGTAAAAATCGACAAGGGCCGATTTGACTACATCGTCATTAGAATAAGGGGAGACAAGGAATCGGGCGTGCAGCTGCAGGCCGGGCCCCAGGGCAGTCGAGCCCGAGCAAGCCCTGACCAGGCTTGCAAAGACAAAATGGTCTGGGTCGGGCCCGCCGCCGGATATCATCCTCGAAAACAGGAGAAGTGTGCGGGTCGGGAGGTTTGCCTGGTTGTGGGCGGTGAAAATGGAGGCCCACGAGGCCAGGTCCCTGTGGGGCATTCTGTCGAACACGTGGAGGGCGTCCTTGAGGTGGCCGCATTTGGCGTACATGTTGATGAGCGTGTTGGGATAGAGGGGCCCGTGAAGGTCCAGGCCAGATTTGATGACGTGGGCATGAGCTTTCTTGCCCTGTAATGGGAGCTGGAATTTGCTGCATTGCTTTATGTGGTGCAAAATTGAAGCCTTTGCGCTTGAAGTTAGCATGCATGTAGATGTGCAGTAACTGTTAACCAATCATACAGAGACAAAACTAATGCATTTGGATAATGAAAAAAGGTTGAGATGGGCAAAACCTAATAAGCGCAGAATTTCGGAGAAGAATTTGTGGAATGGAAATGTGATTGTATGTGTGGTTTTAACTTTTATTAATTTATTAGTCGTGTTCCCTTTCCTATGAACCATAGACACTCATCATATATAATTTCTCATTTCGACGATAAGATACATGTTATATCAAATCTACATTATGGACCATAAAATATTGTTTTTAGTAAGAGTATTTGTGAAAATTAAAAACTTTCAAATAAAAAACTTTTGCTATGGTCTTTATAGTAAAGAGTATTTCTGACTATCCAAAAGTTTACCAAACAAAATGTAGATTATGGATTTGAAGTTTTAGGCAAATATCCATGATTTCAAAACTTTGCATTGTCGTATTAAGTTTTTAAATTTAGAAAACTATGGTAAGCTACATTCTTGCATTGCATTTTGGTCTTTGACACATTGCAATATCAATACCAATATCCTTAACTAAAAACAAGAAACACAATCGAGTTCTTTATCCACCACAAGTAGTAACTAGGAACCAAATGGCCTCAAATTCCACGAAACCAAGAGTTCAAAAACTAGTCCAAATTGTGCCACTTAAATCCCTTTATCATACAATCCAAACACTTGATCATAAAACTTTACAATCACTCATGCATGCTCGAAGCAGAAGACCTCGGATAAGGCACGGCAAAAAGCGCCCTACTTTTCTTCATAACAACGCCAAACTTCTCGGTCATATCAACTTCCGTCCCTTCCGGAACCTTCCAGTCGAACGAGTGCAACAACGTGGCCACCAAATACATCACCATTCTCTCCGCCAAAGGAAGCCCGGGACACATCCTTCTCCCAGAACCAAACAGCAGATAATGAAAGTTATTTCCCGCGTAATCCCATTTCCCACCAATGAACCTCTCGGGCCTGAACTCGTTTGGGCTTTCCCAAACGAGCGGGTCCCTGTAATTGGGCCAAGCGTTCAATATCACATTCGAATCCTTGGGAATCGTGTACCCTCCAAGGACAAGTGGCTGGCTCGGGACTCGGATTAGCAGCAGGGGAAGAGGAGGGTGGAGCCGGAAAGTCTCCTTCACGACTGCATCTAAGTACTTGAGTTTCGACATGTGAGATTCCTCGACTATGTTGTCGGGTCCCACGATGTCTGATAATTCTTGTTGTGCATTTTGCAAGGCGTGCGGATTTTTGAGGAGCTCGGCCATCACCCACTCGATTATTGTTGCTGACGTGTGCGTCCCGCCTAAGACAATGTCCTGTTTTTCATTTTATTTTTTTTTTATAAATTGTTTAAAATCAAACCTCATCTTGCAATATATTTTATAAGAAATGACTAGAGTCATATCATGGAATGATTCCATAAGTATGATTTAACCATGGATTATCTAAAGACTACTAATAACCATGGAACCATTCGTGACGGGACTGTAGTGATTCTCTATTTTATGTAATAAAAGAGTTGAAAAACATGCAAGATCTTTAGTTCATTACCAACAACATGGCCTTAATTTGAGTGATATCCATAGTTTGCCTACCATCATCCTCCTTAAGCTCCAAAAGAATCTGCACAAAGTCCTTTTTTCCTCTTTTTTCCACTCCACTCCCTAATCCTCCCGAATCCCTCAACCTTCCGTTTATCACGGAATCGAGAATCTCGTCCACGCTCGGCTTAACAACACCGTTAAACTCCGCACGATCCCTTGCAAATCGAACCTCGCCAAAAACGGGAAAATATCCGACACGTTGAGCTTCCCGAGTAGCTCCTCGAACCTCCCGACCTTCTCCCTGAACTCGGCCGTCCTCCGGGCAGTCGTCTCGTCGTCATCAGTCCCACCACCCCACAGCAAGGCAAGTATCACGTTCAGCTCCGTGGAGAAGATAAGCCGCCGACGTCGATGGCCCGGCCCGTTTGGGCCAGAACATCCCTGACGGCCCGCCTGACCTCCTCCCTCCTGAGGGAATAGGAGGCCTCCAGGCTGGCGTGGGTCATCATCTAGCGGACGAAGACCTTGCGGAGGGCCCGCCAGTGGGGCCCATAAGGGGCCATCACCATGTCAAGCCCGCCGGAGGCCGCCAGGGCCACGGCGGTGGCTTGGTGGTTGGCGAGGACGGCGTCGTGGTGGCGGACGGCTTGCATGAGGAGGTCGGGGGAGGTGATGACGACGTAGAGTTTGGTGGCGAGGCGGAAGCTGAATATGGGGCCGTGGGCCCGGGAGAGTTGGGTGAGGTGGAGGTGCATGTTGTCGGGGCGGAGGAAGGGGAGGAAGCCAAGGATCGGGAGCCCGCGGGGGCCCAGTGGGAGAGGAGGAGAGGTTTTGGTGAGGTTGTTGAGGAGGAGGAGGAGAAGGGAAGGGATGGTGAGGAGGAGAATGGTGAGGAAGAAGAGTTGAATATCCATTTTTGGAGGATGAGAACGTAAAAGTTGCTAGTGATTTAGGGGTTTATATTGGAATGTTGTGTTGTAAGAAAAAAAATTGTACAAAGTACTTAGTCTTTTTCTGGTCAGAAAATTTAGGGCAACGATGTGAGTTGTGTATTATTTTGAGTTGCCATTTTGAGTGTTAGGACGGTGGTGTACGTAGTTGTGTGGTGAGAAATTAGTCAATTACATTAGCTTAGTATACTATATAGACTATATATATAGAGGCTGTTGTGAGAGTAAAAACGTGTCCATCAATTATGCTAAAGAAAAAAAATATTATTTTTAGTTTTTAATACACCTCAAATATTATAACATTTAAGAATAAGAGTGTATATTGTCAGTGATGGTATAAGCTAAAATGCATTTTTGGTCCTAACTTTCGAACAGACGAGTAATTTTAGTCCTACAAGAGAGGTATGTGGCACGTTGAGTACTACAATTAAAATTTTTGACGCAATTTAAGTTATTTTACCGTCAAATTTTGGGATTTGTGGCAGAAAATTGCACATGCCGACCATGACTCATTTTCAACCCATTATTGTCGACGTGGCCTACGAACCACAACGACGTGATAAAAAAAAAATGAGATGACAAATTAAATTGTCAATGGATTTGGAGGGAAAAACCTCAATTACATTGATCCTGACTTGCCCGCCGACCGTGACTCTTGTTCTTCCCACTTAGGTGACGAAAGAATACACAGAAATAGACTCCGACTCGACTTCGAAGTCAACTGAAGAAATAATCCAAAATATTATTTTTAGATATCTCAATTCTGGTTACATATAGGGCTGCTAATGAACCACGAGCGCTCGAGTCAAAGCTCGACTCGAGCTCGAGTTTGACCGAACTCGAGTCGAGCTCGAGCCCATATTTTGCCTTGTCGAACGACTCGTCGAGCAGCTCGAGATACATGTTAAATTACTAAAATACCCCTTTATATATATATATTAGCATAGGTCCTTATTGATAATTTTAGTTTTTCATTTAAAAATTTTCGAGCCGAGCTCGAGCTATTGTAATTTTTTATTGAATCGAGCTCAAGCAACTAAAAAAAAATTAATCTTGCTCGATAAAGTCAATGCTCGACTCGGCTCGACTCGTTTGCAGCCCTAGTTACATATTAGATAAGGGATTATATTGAGGAAACAGAGTTCATATTAGAACATATCTCTCATTCCGTATAACTTAAATTTGAAATTCTTAATTGAGAAATTTGAAAATTAAAACTACACAATACTTTAAAATCAAGCTTTACAATAAGAATTTTTCCGTATTTTTTCCATCAGATTCTAGACAAACTTGCCAAAAACATTTAATTGGCTTCATTATACTGAGTTATTAATAGCGGAGTAAAATAATAATCAAAGTCAAATAATCTTCTTAGATTATTTGCTATATCTGCTCGGCCATAATTAACTCCATCAATGTGCAGTTGCACATCCTGATATTAATTCCTACATATTTCAACGCAAATTATACTTAACTAGTACGTAACCCGTGCGATGCACGGGATGTAAAATTTAGAAGAATAATATAACCTCACATGCATTAGGATCGAAATTGAAATCATTAAAATACATAGGAACATTGTTGAATCATAAAAAGTTCGGTAACAATCATATATTATTAAAAACCTCCTTGTACACAACATTATGAGTTTGATTATTTGGTAACTCCACATTATCACAAACTAATATTTTCAAAAAAGACAAATCCTAAAAATCAAACTAATATTTTTGGTGAACAAACTAATATTTTAGGATTGGTGAACAAACTAAAATTTTAGGGTTTCTAGGATTTGTCTCTTTTTGGTGAACAAATAATATTTTAGGATTGGTTATATGAATAAGACTACCTGTTTTTGGTGTTCTTTTCATTCATTTTCATTCAAACAATCCGATGACTTGTATAATGAAATCCGAATCTTAAGCCGAAATATTTAGAAAAAGAGTTTTTAAAAATTGAAAAGTCAAGGCAATAGTTCAAATTAATTAAAGGTCAAAGAATATCCGCTCCTTGAAATAAAGACGTGCGTTATCATTAACCAAATATCCGATTATTGATATAGAGTGGTTACCAAAAAAATAGAACGCGATAAGGACGCTTCATGGAAATATCAATGGGATAAGGTCATAACAGATCGCTATATTTAACGATAAAAGCTCAGATAGAATGATTTATGATAATTAAGTCGTAATTAATGAAGTAATTAGAAGTGTGAAAAGAACATAATGATAAAAGCTCAGATAGAATGATTTATGATAATTATGTCGTAATTAATGAAGTAATTAGAAGTGTGAAAAGAACATAATTAATGAAAAGTGTGAAAATGACATAATTAATGAGAAGTGTGAAAAGGACAAAAACTTACCAGTTTTGGAAAATATTTAATCAAATTCGATATTGACCATAATTTGACTTACTATTTTGGATAAATGTTAATTCTTATTATATAAATATAGATATTAGATGGCTGATCTGTCACATATTTAAATAATTGCAATATTTATATTGAAAAATATTATATTTTCATTTATGTTGTATTTTAACGTATGCCACTAGTGAATATAAAGTGATTACAAATGCTCATTTCATCTTCTCTTTCAAATCCGAAGGTTATGAACTCGAAACTTCAGGCCGAAACAAACATGAAAAAGCAACTATCTTCTGTCAGCAGAAGCCGACAATCAACAAAGACTACGCTGATCGGCAAAANTAAAAAAAAAAAAAAAAAAAAAAAAAACTACACTGTTAAAATCATCAGCAGAGCAAAAATGAAGAACCACTCACATCCTCCAGATTGCTTGTATAGAGAACGAAAAATGCAGGCCATGCAAGCCGATTCTTATGAAGGTGCCAATGAAAGAAGCAACTTTTTCCGTCAAAGATTACTACCCGGAAGTCTGGATGTGCGCGTAACCGACTGGTTGTAGTGAAAGAAATTACCACTGGTGTATTTTAGAAATTACTATTACTATCTCCGAGAGGATTTTGTAGAACCATTAGCACTTTGTATGAGCAATCTCACCATTTGGATATAGTATCAAATGCTAGTCCAAGACAATAAAAATGCTAACTCAATGTAGAAGGTTTGTCTAACAGAGATACAAACGAGACTTACTAATAATAAAATAGCATGAAACCACGCATAAGAGGAAAAATACAATGAAAACCCATTAAGGTTGAAACTTATNGGAAGTTATTGCATATCATAAATTCCTAACCTGGGTTTTCTTCTTTATAATTCACTGAAAACATAGCCCACAATGAAAAGACAGCTATATGACCACTCAACAGAACACAAAACACTCATCCAAAAGAATTTCACAATCACTACCCATCCGAATATTGCATTTGTTGCAACGTACGAACAAGTTCTCAGTTGCTCTCGATCTTATCCGAGGAGTAAATAGCATGTCGATAGGCCCATTTATACGCCAAAACAGAGATTTAATATATCTTCACCAAAAAAAAAAAATTTATTGTGGCTGATAAAAAGCGCAAAACCAAAGCACCTACTTATTCTCAGTAGTACCAACTTGCTGCCTAACCCTGCGCGCACATTCCGCAAAACCCTCGACCAACTGGCCACATTTCAACGGGTCATTCATGTTTTCCTTGTAGCATTTCAGGCACGCATCTTTTTCATCCAAACACGGCATCGGTTTGCGATTGGGGAGCTTAAACTCCTTTTCGTGAAGTTCTTTCGCCCTTTGAGTGACCTCGTTCAGCATGTTCTCCTCCTGTTTCTTCAGCCTCTCCACGACCCTCTCGCTTGCCTCAAGAGCCGAGCAGATTGCATCAAGATCTGCGTTCGAGGGCTTTTGATGAGGTGGAGTCGGAAGGTACATAGGAGGCTGAATGGGCCAGCCGGTCAAATTTGAACTGCCAGCTGGCACCTGTGGTGGCTCTCGGCTGATTTTAGGTTTTGGCTTCCTCGTTTTCTTTTTTACCTTCTCACCATCGTCCACAAGGTTCCTAACTAAGTCGCTGCTGATCTGAATCGTGAATGATTCGCCCATGATGCTGGAATGTCTACCTCACCTGATATACGAACAAGTATAATTTTTTAAAAGACCAAGCAGTTCCATTGGGTAGATCTAACTGTAAATCCTTTTATAATGTATCGGGTAAAAAATTTTTTAGTCATTCTTTGAGCATTACTCAGTATAACGAATGAGTACGTTCTCATGCAACAAACACAACTCCTGGAAAGAGAAGGCAAAAGCTGATCACCAAGGTTCACAAAAAGGAGTTTGGAGCATATCATATGTTAATTCCGCTGGAAGCACATTGACAGTGATTTGAGGTGAAATTACAACAGGATAGAGGAAATTAATGTATTAGTAGGAAATAATCGGGCCAATGCAAACAAGTTGTAGCAAGTATTACTAGCAATAACCTTACCTGAAAAAATATTGAGCAGTAAAATCCCAACTTTCGTGCACAAATGTGCAAGGTTTTGCACATAAACGCACCACAGATTAGTTATCTCATTTATATTTTCAATAGTCTAACCCTAAAAATAAATAATAACAATGCTCTATATATCATAAACTAAATCACAGGCACACGTATAAACCAATAAATAAATAAATTCCACGAATTTCAGTAATCCAGATGCAGCAAATTAACTAGACAAGACCACACAGAGACTGCTCGAGCTAATAGAATATGTAGTTAAGTGTTTAAGATCATGAAAACAGGTGGTGTTGGCATTTTTCGATTTGGCCACGGTCCATATAGCTCAAGGCTCTGGATTAGACTCGATACCCAAGTTCTTAAGCACTTGTGACAGAATAAAAGGCCCCAGCACTCTTAATGCAAACAACTGTGGTTTTACACACGTTTTATAATAGAAAATAATCAAGAAGCATACTCATTAACCAATTTGGGGTGTGAGACGGTTAAGTATGATAACAACAGAGGGGCTCTCTAGAAAATATTTAAGGGCCTGCTTTTGTCGATCAACTAAGGATCACGTTTTTAGAAGAAAAAGGCTGTGACTGGATACAAGGAAATTTTATTTATCACATCTGAATGTAAGACATCAATGACAAACTACTAATCAAACTCACAGGTCACAACCTACCAACACCCTCAACTGAAACACCCGTAAGAGGTTTGCTAGAACTGGCTACAAAAAACCATGAGCATGTAAAGATTTATTTAAAAGCAAGACAAAGAAACAATAAATAGGGGTTGGGGAGAAAGCCTCAGGTCCATTCGGGAGAAAGAAAGGAAAAGGCAAAGGGAAGAAAAAAAGTCATTACTACATATTTATTACAACTTGAATACAAGGATGGATCAATGTAAGTACTCTTTTCATTTACATGCATTTTAAGATTGTGAAGATTGGGATTTTCCATGATAATGGGCATAAAATTATGCAAAATTAGCTAGGCCACAGCTACACAATTTTGTATTGCAATGTTATGCCCTTCACACTTACTATTATATATGAATGCACCGGCTGCTACAATATCAGTAAACAGAAAATCAGACTATTTCACTACCAACTTAAACATACAGGTTTTCACAGTTCAAAGCACGAAAAACTTCGAAAATGGTGATCCAGGCTAGCATTTTTTCTCGCAATCCAAAAAGAATACTGAAAAAATCTCACAAGGCCAATTCACCGGACAACCTTATGTCTTATCTTCAAAAAGTACATCACTATTGAAGGCCCATATCACAGATTACAAAGACATCAGAGCACAACTCAGGAAGTACTGTTTCTATCCAAATCTTTTTAATCATTTGATTCAATTTGCATCTTCGTCATTTTAAGGTCCGAGCTAAAACATAAAGGGCTCTTACAACCAAAGAATTTTAATCCACTTTAACCCCCATCAACCAGTTTTTAGCATCATCAACCCAAGTCCTTTGAAATCACAAGCAAAAGGCTAGAGGCATGCAAAGAGTACAGAAATTCTCACTG